TGTTTCTGGGAGTTAGGGGCTTGATTAGGTTCAGGGTCAATTATTTGGTGGGCAAGAACACTTTATAGCTAGTTCTTTGTCTTGTGATATGGACATCAGGGGGCACGTATCTGCTTGTCCCATTCTTAGTGATATTAAAATGTTCCCTGTCACCTTTTTAATTGAAATCTTTATTGCAATAATTGTAGACTCACAAGCAGTTGTACAAAATAATACAAAGAGATACCCCATACTCTACTCAGTTCTGCCAATGATAACACTTTGCAAAATTATTGTGTAACATCATAACCAGGATAATGACATTGTTAAAATCCACTGATTTTACTCAGATTCCCCCAGTCTTACTAGTACTTGTGTGTGTGTGTGTGTGTGTGTGTGTGTGTGTGTTGTATACAGTTTTATCATGTATAAGTTTGTGTATTCATTACCACAGTCAAGGTATTGAGCAGTTCCAATACCATAAGGATCCATTACATCTTATAACCCTATCCACTTCCCTCCCACCCCTATCCTGTACATGATACTGCATGTGTCAGTTCCCTTTTATTGCTGGTTCCGTGGCGTGTGTATGCCTGAGTTTAACCATTCACCTGTTGAAGGACATCTGTGCTGATGGCAATTTTGGACTGTTACAAATATAGCTGTTGTGAACATTCATATACAGGTTTTTGCATGAACATACATTTTCATTTCTCTTAGGTGAATGCTCAAGAGTGTAATTGGTAGATTATATGGTAATTGCATGTTTAATTTTATAAAGAACTTCTAAGTTGTTCTCCAGAGCGGCCATACTATTTTACATTCCCACCAGCAATTTGTAAGTGATCCAGCTTCTCTGCATCCTTGCCAACATTTGGTATTGTCACTATTTTTTATTTTAGCCATTTGTCATAGGTATGTAGTGATATCTCATTGTGGTTTTAAATTGCATTTCTCTGGTGGCTAATGATGTTGAACATCTTTTCAATGTGCTTATATTTAATCTGTGTCTCCTATTTGGTGAAATGTTCTGTTCATGTCTTTTTAATATCGTTGGATGAGCTGGCTTAATGGCCAACTTCAGAACAACTCTTTGTTTAAAAGATTTTATTTATTTATTTTTTAGAGAGAGGGGAAGGGATGGAGAAAAAGAGGGAGAGAAACATCCATCGATTGCTTCTCACAAGTGCCCTGACTGGGAACTGACCCTGCAACCCAGCCATATGCCCTGACTGGGAATTGAGCCAGTGACCTTTCACTTTGCACGGTGACGCCCAACCAACTGAGTCACACTGGTTGTGCCTTTTCATGTCTTTTTAAAAAATATATAATATATACGTATATTTTTACTGTTGAGTTTTGAGAGGCCTTTCTATTAGATACTAGTTTTTGTCAAGTGTGTGGTTTTCAGATATTTCTCCCAGTTTGTAGCTTTTCTTTTCATCCTCTTCACAGGGTCTTTTGAGAGCAAAAGGTTTTAATTTTTTGAAATTATGTTTTATTGATTATGGTATTACAGTTGTCCTGATTTTTCTCCCTTAAAGTTTTTAATTTTGAAAGGCATTTCATCAGCTTTTCCTTTTATGGATCATACTTTTCGTGTCAAGTATAACAACTGTTAGCCAAGCCTTAGATCCTGAAGATTTTCTCCTGTTTTTTTAATACATGTTTTATAGGTTTACATTTTACACTTAGGTCTGTGGTGCATTTTGAATTAATTTTTGTATAAAGGTTGAGGTGCAGGCTGAGGTTTTGTTTGGTTGCTGCCTGTGGATGGATGCCCACACTTCACCACGTGTTGACAAGGCTGCCCTTCCTCCATTCAATTGCTTTTGCAGCTTTGTCAGCCATCAGTTGAACATGTTTGTGCAGGTCGGTTTCTGGGTTTTTCCCCATCAACTTTTCACCTAATAGGCTTAGTGGCCATTGATGATCACTTACTATTCCATTTGGGGTTGCAAAATGGTAGGAGCCTATCATTCCTACACTTACTAGCTGGGCTGCTCCTGTAAAGAGATTTTCTTCATCAACTCTTTAGTTGCTCTGAGGTATAATTGGGATGGAAAAATGCCAGATAAATACTTGCTTTCCTCCTTAATATTCCCTGTTTTTGGAATGACTTGCTTCTCTACCATCCTCCAAAAGTGACCAATAATGAGTTTGTAAGTATCTGTTTAAACTAATGGATTTGTAACATATTTGATTTGTTTCAATTCATTGATGTCATTGTTCTGATAGATGGTTCTCAAGTTGGCTTACTTTGCCAGTAGGAGGTGATTCAAATTGGCAGCTGAGTCCATTTGACACAATTCCTGAAGTCTTTGACAGCTTCCTTGTTTCAGGCACAAGAATATCTTCTAAGTCCATCTTACACATTTCATGTCCCACACTTGGAATCAGCCATTTCTCTAAGGACCCTGATTCTTTTTCATGGGAAATAATATAGATCTCCATCTGCACATTAACAACCCAGCAGCTCTTAACATTCTCACTGCTTTTTAAAATAGATAAATGTAATTATATATTATATACATATATGATAGCAAAAAATAAACCAGGAGTTTATATGGATACTTTCTTTTTTTATATATTTTTTAAAAGATTTTATTTATTTATCTTTAGAGAGGAGAAGGGAGGGAGAAAGAGGGAGAGAAACATCAATGTGTGCTTGCCCCTCACGTGCCCTCCACTGGAGACCTGGCCCACAACCCAGGCATGTGCCCCGACTGGGAATCAAACCAGCGACCCTTTGGTTCACAGGCCTGTGCTCAATCCACTGAGCCACACCAGCCAGGGCTATATGGGTACTTTCAATTCAAACTTAAAGATAAGGACTGGGCTTAAATTTCTTTTTTTAAAGAACTTTACACTTTATTTTTCACTTACAGTATACATTTAGTATTATCTTGATTTAGTTTCAGGTGTACAGCATAGTGGATAGATAATCATATATTGTGTTGGCCACAAAGTTCATTTATTTTTTCTATATTATGGCTCTAGTAGGGCTTAGTTGTCTTTAACTTCATTTGAAACAATTTTGTTAGAATGTATTGTAACAGCTGTCATACCATCATGCATTAAAAAAACTTTATCAAAATTGGTGAATTTTTGTAAAGCCATTTTGATATATGAAGATGGAAGAAAATACACAACATTTTTGGCATATTAAACTTTATTTATTATTTCAAGAAAGATAAAATGCAACTGAAATGCAAATACTTGTACAGTGTATGGTGAAGGTGCTGTAACTGATCGAATATGTCAAAAGTAGTTTGTGAAGTTTCTTAGTACTATTGACATATTGGCCAAATAATTCTTTGCTGTTGGGCTGTCTTATACATTGGAAGATGTTCAGTAGCACCCCTGGCCTCTATCCACTAGAAGCCAGTAGCGGGAGATAGCCGACATACTCAAAGTATCCAAATCAATAAAGTTATTGGTAAAAATGAAAAATGTGTCTTTTATTTTAAAGAAAAAACTAAATGGACTTTTTGGCCAACCCAATATTTTACAAAGTGTTCTGCTAATATTTCCAGTACCTAAATGACACCATACACAGTTGTCACAATATTACTGACTATATTCCCTATACTGTACTTTCCATCCCCCATGACTGTTTTGTAACTACCAATTTGTACTGCTTAATCCCTTCGCCTCTTTAACCCAGTCTCTAAATCCCCCTCCCTTTTGACAATCAACATCCCCCTCTCTGTGTCTGAGTGTGTTTCAATTTTGTTTGTTCTGTAGATTCCACATAGAAGTGAAATCATATGGTATTTGTCTTTCCTTGACTTATTTCACTTAGCATAATGCCCTCCAGGTCCATCCATGCTGTCACATACGGTAAGATTTTATGGCCCAGTAATACTCCATTATATATATATATATATATATATATATATATATATATATATATATATACTCTTGACAGTTAGGTTGCTTACATATCTTGGCTATTGTAATTATGAGGGGGGACCTCAAAATTGTATTTATAATTGTATAAATACAATATTTATAAAAAATTGTATATTTATTTGTACATATTTAAACTTCAGTCACCTTCAAAGTACTCTCCATTTGATGCAATGCACCCATTGAGACTTTTTTCCCACTGCTCAAAACAGTCTTTGAACTTATTGATTTTGATGCCTTTTAGTGCTTCTGCCTTTTTTTGTTTCATCTGTTCCACATCGGCAAAATGTTTCCCTTTGAGTACTTTTTTCATCTGGGGAAACACAAAAAAGTCGTGCGGGATGAAATCGGGTGAACAGGGAGGGTGGGGTGTGGGGGTCATGCTGGTTTTGGTCAAAAACTGCTGAACACTCAGCATGGTGTGGGCAGATGCAGTCATAAATCAACCATCATGAAATGGGCAAAGGTGTTGAAAGAATCTTCAAAAAAATTTCACTGAAGCTGAACACAGCCTCTCACAACAACACCAGCTGGTACACTGATACAGATGGGTTCCTAGAATACTCACCTAGTGGGGGGAATCCTGTTCTACAAGGGGCCCATCTTCTGCAGTATAATTCTGGTTTTTTCCTCCCTCGTAATGCTTCAGTGAACATAGGGGTACGCATATTCTTTCGAATAAGTGTTTTGAGTTTCTTCAGATATATTCCCAGAGGTGGAATTCCTGGGTCATAAGCCAGATCCATTTTTAACTTTTTAAGAACCCTCCATACTGCTTTCCGCTGTAGCTGCACCAGTCTGCATTCCCACTAACAATGCACTAGGATTCCCTTTCCCCCACATCCTCACTAGCACTTGTTGTTTGTGGATTTATTGATGACATTAGCTTAAATTTTTTGATTTTATGTTCGTGTGTCTTGTAATGAAGTAACATAATTACTCATTTGATAAGTAAGTATTTTAGGGAAGAGTCTTTAGTTTTATAGCCAAGATGGTCTGTTGAAAAAGTCCTGTGGGAACAATGATAAGATTGTCTCATATAGAAGTTATTTTAAAAAAGAAACTATATTCTTATCTGTTTTAATGGTAGATTATATTAATTTAAATAGGTACAGCCCGCGCTTGATGGAAAAAATTCTTCAAATGGCTGAAGGTATTGATATTGGGGAGATGCCTTCATATGATCTGATGCTGCCCAAACCTTCCAAAGGTCAAAAACGTCATCTTTCAACATGTGATGGTGAGTATACTTGTTTCTGGAAGGTGGGATTTGAAGAAACTACATGGCCTTTTTTTAAAAAAACAACAACATATGAGTGTGGTATATGATTTTAAGTAACATTGGTAATTTTGGACCTTACACAACTGTAAAAGAATTTTAACTTTTAGTTATGTACAGTTTTTTTTTTTTTCGAGGATGCTAAATAGAACTGAAGCCTAAGAATACTGAGGTCACACTATAATGCTATCCTCAAGCCCTTGCCATGAACCTCCCTCTAAATAGAAAAACCTTATACTCTGATCATTTGAGCATCTAAGTAACTGAATCCTCCTGGATGGGTCCAAGATGGACCAGCTTTCTACTGAACAGTTGTTATAGGGAGGAAACTCTCGTGTCTGGTATAGCCTCAACAGAGTTCTTCCATAGCTTTAAATTTGATATCCCTCATAAATCATTAGTTTCCAGCTATTGCTAGTTCTAGAAATAAAACATAGCAAACACTCTTTTGTGCAGAATAGGTCAGAATTAAGATTTTGAAGTTGAAAACCTTTGGGATCTTGTGATAATTATTTTTATTTGATTTTTAGTCACAACTATGTAAAGCACCATCACAGAGTCACTCACCTCTGATACAAAAGAGAGAAGCTTTGTAAATGCCTCTGGCCATCATCTCTATTGCAGTAGAGCCATCTGTTCCATTTGCAGTCCTTAAGAAGAGAGCTTTTCAGCACAGGTGGTATGAGATTATACTGGAACAACTTTTTAGTACACTTCACCTGTGCTTTAACTCATTAGATGCAAAAGCATCTACCATTCATGCATGGTGGTGACCTGCATACCTGATTCAATGGCATATTTTCTATCAAGTCCCTTCCCTTACACGTGGAAGGACAGGAAGCATTCCCTCCTTATGCTGGAACCTTACACTGATATTTGACTCCCTTCTCCTAAATAACCTTAAGTTTTTTGTGATGGGAAGTATCTTGTACCAACAATGCAGCTCGCAAATAATATGGTTGGTACTATTTTCCTGCTTGTTTTTTTTTTTAAGAAAATTCCCTTTGTAATGAATTGTAAATTTCACTCATTCTATAGGTCAAAATCCTCCTAAAAAGCAAGCCGGTTCCAAATTCCATGTGAGACCTCGTTTTGAGCCTGTACATTTTGTAGCTAGTAGTTCAAAAGATGAAAGACAGGAAGATCCTTATGGCCCTCAAACAAAAGAGGTAAATGAACAAACACATTTTGCCAGCATGCCGAGAAACATCTACCAAGATTATACTCAAGACTCTTTCAGTACACAAGATGGGAATTCTCAGTATTGTGATTCATCAGGATTTATTTTCACAAAAGACCAACCTGTAACAGCCAACATGCATTTTGACAGTGGGAACCCCGCCCCAAGCAGCACACCACAGCAGGCAAACTCTCAGTCACCTCCTGAGCCTTCACCATCACAGACATTTCCTGAGTCAGTGGTAGCCGAGAAGCAGTATTTTATTGAAAAATTAACAGCGACTATCTGGAACAACCTTTCTAATCCAGAGATGACTTCCGGATCTGATAAAATTAATTACACATACATGTTAACTCGTTGTATTCAGGCATGTAAGACAAATCCTGAGTATATATATGCTCCTTTAAAAGAAATCCCTCCTGCTGACATCCCCAAAAATAAAAAACTCCTAACAGATGGTTACGCTTGTGAAGTTAGATGCCAAAATATCTACTTAACTACAGGTTATGCTGGCAGCAAGAATGGGTCCAGGGATCGAGCTACTGAGCTAGCTGTGAAACTCTTGCAGAAACGTATTGAAGTTAGGGTTATCCGACGGAAATTCAAGCACACAATTGGAGAGGACCTTGTGGTGTGTCAGATTGGCATGCCTTCATATGAATTTCCTCCAGCTCTGAAACCACCAGAAGAGCTGGTGGTGCTGGCTAAAGATGCCTCTGGGCAGCCGATTTTTAATGCTTCCGCCAAACATTGGACCAATTTTGTGCTTACAGAAAATGCAAATGATGCAATTGGTATCCTTAACAATTCTGCCTCATACAACAAAATGTCAGTTGAGTACAAATACGAGATGATGCCAAATCGCACATGGCGTTGTCGAGTGTTTTTGCAAGATCATTGCTTAGCTGAAGGTTATGGAACCAAAAAAACAAGTAAACATGCAGCTGCCGATGAGGCCTTGAAAATCCTTCAAAAAACACAACCCACTTACCCATCTGTCAAAGGTTCACAGTGCCAAACAGGCTCTTCACCCAGGGGATCTGGCAAGAAGAAAGATATAAAGGATCTTGTAGTTTACGAGAATTCTTCAAATCCTGTGTGCACGCTCAACGACACAGCTCAGTTTAACCGAATGACAGTTGAATATGTCTATGAAAGAATGACAGGCCTCCGATGGAAATGCAAGGTGATTCTAGAGAGTGAAGTAATTGCAGAAGCAGTTGGAGTGAAGAAAACTGTCAAATATGAAGCTGCTGGAGAAGCTGTGAAAACCCTCAAAAAGACTCAGCCGACTGTCATTAACAACTTAAAGAAAGGAGCTGTTGAAGATGTGATTTCAAGAAATGAAATTCAGGGCCGCTCAGCAGAGGAGGCTTACAAACAACAAATCAAAGAAGATAACATAGGTAATCAGCTGCTGAGAAAGATGGGTTGGACGGGTGGTGGTTTAGGTAAATCTGGCGAGGGCATTCGGGAGCCAATCTCTGTCAAAGAGCAGCATAAGCGGGAAGGGCTTGGTCTTGATGTAGAGAGGGTAAATAAAATTGCCAAGAGAGATATTGAACAGATCATCAGAAACTATGCCCGCTCTGAGAGCCACACAGATTTGACTTTCTCTACAGAACTGACTAATGATGAGCGGAAGCAAATACATCAGATTGCCCAGAAGTATGGTCTTAAGAGTAAGTCTCATGGGGTAGGCCATGATAGGTACCTGGTGGTAGGTAGAAAAAGACGGAAGGAAGACCTACTAGATCAGCTCAAACAGGAAGGCCAAGTGGGGCATTATGAGCTTGTGATGCCTCAAGCAAATTAGATCTTACTAACTTATTTTGTAAATGCCTAATGAGGCATATCTATGAATTACAGAAATGCTACATGTTCCAGTTGCAGAGTATAATCATTCTTAAGATGTTTCACCTTGTTCATTTCATATAGTGCTTTATTAGATATTGGGACCTGAAAAATTCTGTCCACTTGTATTAGCTTAATCCAGCAGATGATATTGTGCAATTACCGTTTGTGTCTTTGATATTGCTGTGCCCCCAGACTTTAGTCATTTGTACAAAGCAAGAACGCAGATCCAAGTGGAATTTCACCCTGACAAAGAAACTCCCATTTTAAAGGGCATAGCACAGCACTCTGCAACAATATGTGAGGTTGATATTAATTACAAGAAAATCACAGTCTTAATTCCAGACTTACGATGTCAGATCATTTTGTATTATCTATTTTCATTTTTCTGTGAAGCCAGTTATAGCTGTTTAACAGTAAATTGTGCTGTATGTGTAAATGTCCTTACAGACTAAATGATGTAAAACTTTCTTAAAGTAATTTTAGTGTTCACTTATTTATAACTTCTACCATGTGGTTTTCAGAATATTGGAAGTGATTTACTGTACCTTGTGATATATCAATTTTAACAAAAAGTCTTCATGCTGAGAGAGCACTACTTGAGAGAGCACTTGAAAAGTTTCAGAAACTTTCATTTAATCTGAAGAAAGGAAGCTGGAGCTGTTTGTTCTTGGTGCCTTGCAGAGAGACTCACAGCAACTTCCTGTTGTAGCTTTCATATGGTTTGGATGTACAGCACATCCAAGGTGGCCAGAGCTGCAGTAGAGCTCGGTAAAAGACTGAAGATACATTGGTACTTTGATGAAAAGGTCAGTTGGCTCGTCCTTCTCTCAAACAGCTTATTAAGCTCCAAAAGCCAACTTTGTAACATATTTAAAATGGCTATTTTCGCTTATTCCTGGAATGTATAAAGAAAGTATATAAAAAGAATTAGTGTGTGCTTCCTGAATAAAAAGGAGCCGAAGTTGATCAAAATGGTGGTGTGCTTATTTCTGGGCAACAGCCTAGTAGTGACACTTTGGGTTTTTGGAGAGGGGAAGTGGCGTTTGCACAAAGTATTTCAACACCATCAACACCAGAGCACATGTAGATGAACATAATGACTTAGCACATAGGAACAGCTAATACGTCACCCATCATGTTTTTCCTGTGAACCAATATGCTCGCTGCAACCGAACTGCAGGCTATTTAATTTTATGTGATTTTGTTTTTGTATCTCTGATAAATCAAGTATTAATATTCATACAATTAATATTCTGAAATGAATATTAATAGTTAAACACCCCCCATGAAATATTTAGAACAATTGGATTGTTTATAATGTCTTAAAACATTTAGCACCACATTTGTCATTTAATTGGCCCACAATAAATAGAAATGTCATTTCCCCTCTTTTTTATATTTTACATTAAGGAGCTCTCCATTGTAGCCCTGGCTGGTGTGGCTCAGTGGTTGAGTGCCAACCTGCCAAAGAATCATTGGTTCAATTCCTAGTGTAGGGCATACGCCTGGTTTGCAGGCCAGGTGTCCAGCAGGGAGCATGTGAGGGGCAATCACACATTGATGTTTTTCTCCCTCTCTTTCTCCCTTCCTTCCTCTCTCTAAAAAAATAAAGAAAATCTATAAAATAAAGTAAAAAAAGAAGAAGCTGTCTATTGTAGTTCAGTCAATTTAAAAAATATATAAAGGAATTAACTTTTATACCTGGATCTCTCTTTTATTCGCCTACAGTGGACTAACACACTGTGATACTTGCTTTCCACTGTCTTCCTACAGTGTGTCGCCTTTCCTAATGTTGGTAGGAAGAGAAGTAAGATGTGCGTTTTATTTGGCACTTGATGTTTTAACAATGGCAAAGGTAACTAAGCTAAAAAGTTTATAGATTTTATAGGATGTTTTTTTTACCTGTAAGGCTCATACCAACCTTGAGAAGCTATGGTTCAATTAGTGAATTAGAGAAGTCATCCTTCAGATCTCTTGAGTAAAAGTGGCTTTGGGCGTTAAAGAGGATAAAAACTCATTTCTCTTTCTACATACTTTTCCCAACATGATTTTTCGGGGTGGAGTGGGTAGGGAAATGTTGCATATAAATCTGGTTTATTTAGGTAAGTTCAACAGAGCAGAATATTAATGTAGTTATAGTTAAGGCTCCCAAGTAATTGGGTCAAGTATATATCTGGTTCTGGATTTGAGGGTCCAGATTTCCCAACTTCTTAGATCAGCTTTGGTATTGTAGAAATAGGGTGAAGTCACTTGATTCTGATTTGAAAATAAAGTATACTGAGAAATGGATGAGCTACTGACAACCTTATTATTCTATTTTGTCCCCTATTGGTTCTTGTGTTTTCCCTTTCTTTTTTAAAAAGGTTTTATTTACTTATTTTTAGAGAGAGGGGAAGGGAGGGAGAAAGAGAGAAACATCAGTGTGTGGTTGCCTGTCATGCATCCCTCACTGGGGACCTGGCCTGAAACTGAGGCATGTGCCCTGACTGGGAATCAAACCGGCAACCCTTTGGTTCACAGCCCAAGCTCAATCCACTGACCTACACCAGCCAGGGATCCCTTTCTTTGAAATAGTCCTTTTTAACCCAGTAACCTTGCACAGGTACATGAGCAGTTTCATGTACTGGAATTTTATTGGAATTACTTAACTATGTTATATTAAGATACTGTTCTCAGTATATATATATATATATATGTATATTGTAACATATATCAATCACTGAGTTTCACAGATCTTAGATTTTTTTCTGTCCCCTTTGACTGCAAAATAAATGTAAATTTCATGCATTCTATTGGGATGCTTTATTAGTAGTATGCAATGCATCACTTTGCTGTGAGTAACCCCTGAAGCTGTAGATGGGTCCTAAATAAAGGACCCTAATTATAACTTTTGTTTTTCATCATACCCCCTTTCCCACATCAGCAGGTGCAGAATTGAAGACTCAAGTTCAGATCTGATTGTCATTTGAAAAGGGATCTCACATAACCTGTTTTTATTTTATAATTATTATTTACATAATTATATGCAGGCAGCCTGTGGCATTTGTTTTTTTAAAAATATTGTAAACAAAAAAGGACAAATTGGCATGAAATGTCAAACAAATGGTTTCTGGTACCTTTTACCATGGGTATGATGCTTTGGGAAGTCAGCTCTACTCTGTTGTAAGGTTTTAAAAGGATGATCCCATGAAAGAAATTGGGAGTAGTGTTTCTCAGGAGGTGTACAAAAGAAAAAAATATATCCGCACATCCCTGATCTCAACCTTAATTTTTTTAAGTGTGATTAACAGTATCAATAAGATACCTAGCCACAAAAAGATTAAAAATTAATGGAAAACTAATGTATCAAGTGGAGACCAGTTTAATGTGTTGCTACTTTGAAGCAGAAATGGACTTAAGGGGAAAAAGTAATCATATTTAAGGATATTGCTCCTAGGTGAAACAAACCAATTAATGTGGTCAGTGTAGAATGAACTCCCCCACACTGAGCCTCCGTTAAGTGCAGAGTCTGAAAGGATGAATAGGTACATATACTGTAGGGATTTAATTGTATTGGTCCTTGCCCCCAAAGAGGTAAGTTTCCACAAAGTCACTGTCCTTGTCTATTTAAAAAGAAATAGGTTGCTTCTTAGAAGAGTTTTGTTTAAGCAAGATAACTTGATGACACTTGTATGCCCAGACTTTACACAGGACTGAAAATAACACTTTGTAGTAATTTATTACTGTTTGTTTTTAAGCTAGGGCTTTTTAAAAGAGGTGGATGTCAGGATCAACAATTTAGGTGTTGGTCTCTGAGGGTGCTGGAAAATATCCAGCTTTGTTTATTCTCTCCCCCCTTACCATAGTTTCATTCCTTCGATTGATCATAATATATGCTGAAGTAGCTTTGCTTTACTTAAATTTTAAATTCTTTAAAAATGTTTTTAAAAAGGCTTATGACTGAAAAGGAAAAAAGGCCCTCTTCAACAGTATCTATTATTTTCCCTCTCCTAGAATCTATATTTTTGCTTTCACTGTAATGTTTCTTTCAAGGGGAGGGGAATGAATGGATATGTGATTCCAATAATACTAAAAGGTCATGCTGAGCTAAAATATAATTATACCTTGACTACAAAATTTTAAGATTATTTTTATTTACAAGTTTTGAAAATGTACATTTTTTACATGGGTTACTTGTGCAAAGTTAGATTGAGCAGAGTGATAAATGCACAAAAGGTGACAATGGAACATTTAGACAAAACATTTACAAGCCTTGTCCCACACTGCTACTTAAAGATACTATCTATTGAAAAGTATAAATATCCAAAGAAAGGTTGCAAACATTGATCTTAAGGTTCTTATAACACTGAAAGGGGAAAAAGAAACTGAAGCATGCAGCATTAACCCAGGATTTGAGTGGAAAATAGTTTGTCACAGATATGCTCCTTTCACTGGGTTAATTAAAACTCTGAAAAATGAGGGGAGATTATAAATTTGTTCATCTAAGGTAGCACTGCTCCTTTGAAAAGGTTGAAGGATCACCCATCTTCCCTACCTTAAAAGCTAATGATTATTTCCATCCCTCTGTTCCCACACCTCTTTAAAAAGCAGAAACCCAGAAGACTTCCAGTACAGTTGTCCCTAGGTATCCATCAGTACAGACACATCCATCAGAGGCTTAACTACCTAGCACACATCAGCAACAATATAGCACGTTTGCCCCTGAATATTTTCGATTTGTGGTTGGTTGAATCTGTGGATATGGAACCTGCAAACACAGATGGCTGACTGTGGACTGAAACTCAGCATGGGTGCGCCCAGTGAATATCCTGCAAGGAGAGGATGTGTCAGTTACTACCATTGCTGTACTCCCTTCGTTGAGCCCTTTAACATTCTCCTTCCTACCAGTAAAAACCATCTGGTAATTCATATTGGTTAGATTTCAGAAACAGCATTTTTAGCTTTCTCTTTCAAAATGGATGTTTATATGGATTTATTTCCCTATTTTCTGTAGGTCATATTCCATTCACTCCTAAATCCAACACAAGTGTTTCCGCTAGAATGAAACACTTCAGCAGTCGTTTTGTTAAAAATAACATCCTGGTCATCCAGCTATGAAGAGGCACCACTTGTATAGCAATTCATTTAAGCTTAGTGTAAAGTATGATACCAAACACTGCCCTAAAGCTGGAGATGAGATACAACAGAAAAGGAATTAAGCATTAGTCATTTTTGCACGTAACCCAGGTACAGTACATTTGATCTCATAGAGGGTGTTTTTTGATGTTCAAGGAGAAGATAGGGTAGGAAAGGTTTGGTGAGGGAAGATGGAAACAGCACGATAACTATTTTGCTTTTAATGAAGTAAATGTAATGACACTGAGGAATAAGAAGGTGACAAACACATAAGTGTGTATTTTTCTTATGCCCAGCCTCTTCTTTTGTTGCACTCAAGTCAGCAAGCACGCCAGCTCTGTTCTACTTCGAGTCAACAATCACGCCAGCTCTGTTCTACTATCGCAGAAACGCGTTTTTCATATTCCCGCTTGTTCTCCTGGTACAGCTGAGCAGCCTGGCTGTTTGCTGGGCTATTGGGATTGGGCTCATCCAATAGAGACTATAAAGACAATTTGTAAAAGGTCAGTTCTTTGACATAAAATATATATATATTTTAAGACACTCAATTGAATTTTCCTAAGTAACAGCTAACATACTAATCTAGAATTAATCTGCTACTAGCTAGGCAAATACATACATTTTCTGGGGGCTTAGGTCTTAATGACCTACCCTTTTCCTTAAGTTACAACTTTCAAAAACAATTCAACTGCTAATATAAACATATAAAAGGCCACAGTGAGTGACATGAAGGAAAATTCACCTGTATGGATGTTAAAATGGAAGACACATCATAAGTTGGACTCCAGCGGTTCTGAAGTATGTCCAGACATATACTACCATCTGCGTAGACTAAGAGCAGAGAAGTATGTATGTTAACTATAACGAAACCGCATAACTTAACAGCATAGTCAAGGCAAATATAGTCAAGAATACTTTGCCTTTGAGGTTAACAAGATTTCCTGAGCTGCTTCTCAGTTACCTCCCTAAAAAGAGTTATAAGCATTACTAGTGAAATAATCAGGATGATAGAATGTCAAATGTAATCAGGAGAAAACTGTAAGATATTTAGTGCTCGTTCTTCTGAAAAGAGTGCCCCATTGTCCCGGAAATCATAACATTTTGTAATAGGGTCCCTAGCCCTCCACAGACTTGTGAGAAATTCATTCCATGAAATTTGTTAACTGTATCTGCTGTATGAACTAACAAAAGATAGCTCAGATTTCACAAGGTGTCATGTTGGCATGAAGATACTATCTGACACCCTGGAAAATACTTTATTAACCTGAATAAAAGACAAGCTGTTCTAGGCTTACTACTAGAAAAAAAAAGAAAATATTAAGTTAGAATCACCGGTGGTGCTTTTTCAATATACTATTGTATACCTGGCCCTCAACCACTGAGCCTGACATTCAGTAGGTCTAGACTGGGGCTAGAGCACCTGTGTTTCTAAAATGTTCCTTGGTAATTCTGATCTGCATCCAAGAAAAAGCAAAGTAGCTTCCCAGCTTTAGTTCTAGTACTATAGCTTAGACAGCAATAGAGTGCCATGAACAAGTTCAGTTTTCAGCCAACAGCAGGATGCCTAAATACTCAGGTACCACAGACAAATCCATAGGAAGTGTGGAATACCTCCCTAATAAACAGTGTAGTAGTTTTAAATACTGTATTAAAAGTGATACTTGCGCCCTGGATGGTGTGGCTCAGTGGAGTGAGCACCAGCCTGAGAACCAAAGGGTCACTGGTTAGATTCCCAGTCAGGGCACATGCCTGGGTTGGGGGCCAGGTCCCCAATGGGGGCCACATGGGAGGTAACCGCACATTGATGCTTCTCTCCCTCTCTCCCTTCCCCTCTCTCTAAAAGTAAATAAATAAAATCTTTAAAAAAGGGTTATACTTGCCATTCGGATGAAACATCTTAGAGACAAATCTAACCGTAGGTGGTTTATTTGGATATTCCTCAGTGAATTCTATTATAAGCTTAAATGTTCCTGTAGTTAGAAAAGACAAATTTAAGAAAACATAGTTATCAGTGTGTTCAGTAGTACTGTATTCTTAATGCTATGTGATCTTTTTTCAAATGTTAAGGGAAATAATGCAAAGATATAGGGAGACCAAGTGAGAGATATAGCTCCAAGAATTGCTCTAAAACTGGACAGATAGTGTAAGAACCACCATCCAAAGGTGATCTTTATTTTGACATTATTCTCCCCCAACTGTAAATACAGCCATCTTAAACTCAAAATTACTACCTGTAGGATGGCTTTTAACCACTGTACACTTTGAAGACATCCTTCAAATGACAAACCAGAGCCAAACTTTGGCCTTCCTTTAGAAAACTAGAACACCTTAAAGGCCTGTCTGAATCAGCTGCCATTTTAAACTCTCCAGAGATTTTTAAATGGACTAGAGAGAATGGGATTACAAAGGTCCAAAACTCGATGCTAGAAACACAAATCAATAATCAAATTATTATTTTTTAAATAGAAGGGGATAGGTATTAAAGTGTTCACTGGTTCCTTTTTATGTAATGGCAACTCTGTAGTGAAAATGTAATTGAATGTACGCCAGAAAAAACGTCATAGTCCCTTTCAAAACCCTTAACTATGACTCACAAGGTACTTCACTATAAAACCAACTCAATTATTCACACTAATGGAGGGAATTAATGGCAGAAATAATTTTAAAATCATATTAGATTACATTCATGTCACCAGAAAAAATGATCTTTCTAATGATGTTTATGCTACTATTAAAATAAATTTATTTTTCTTGAATATGTAGCAGGAGGCCCTACAGCATACTAGGTTATAGACTTAGAAGGACAAGCTAGATCTCGTTCAGGAATTGTAGGTTCATGTTAGTTGGGGAGATGATTTCCTTCAAAATGTTATTTTAAATTTGGTTTAATAATAAATTCAAGAAAAACAGTTGGGCAACGATTTTTTCCTGACTGAAAGCTCTTCAGGTAAACTTACAAAATCAGTTGCTATCTGGTATAAGGTGATGCATGTTCTGTACTTCTCTGGCACATTTAATAAATCACTTATTCTAATACAACTGATCAGACTTCAGAGAAGAGTACAATTTGTTACTGATTCATTCAGAGTAGGCAATTTATTTCCTCATTGCTTCCATTTATAGGTTTGTTACCTCTTAAGTAAGAAAAGAGAAGACTACAATCACTTTACTGCTACCATTACACATAACAATACCCAAAAGTTTGTTTCCTATCAGCCTGCTGGTAGGAAAGAACTTGCTAACAAAGTTGCTATTGGTATGAACATGTTACAAAGTTTGAGACTACTTTAAAATGCAACATACAGAAACATAGTCTCTAACCCTAACCCAAATGATTGTTATTTCCTTAGGACAAAGAGTAAAATATTTTGGAATAGAAAAACATGCTCTAGTCCAGGGGTGTCAGACTCATTTTCACTGGGGGCCACATCAGTCTTGCGGTTGCCTTCAAAGAACCGAATGTAATTTTAGGACTGTGTAAATGTAACTACTTCTTAACTGCTAGGGAGTTGAAATTACATTCGGCCCTTTGAAGGCAACTGCAAGGATGATGTGGCCCCTGGTGGAAATGAGTCTGACACCCCTGCTATAGTCCATCAGAACATACCTCACCTTTACCACCACCTGGTCATAAATCTTCCCCTTTTGAGGAAGAAAGCATATTCTTCCTTTTGAATACTATTGATGTTATGCAAGAAAAAGTGGGAATCAGTGTTGGAGTTCAGAACTTTGAGCTTCCTTATGTATCTCAAGTGCAAACATATTTGGCTCCACACTGAAATCTGATTAAACTAAATTATAGGTAAGAGATTCATCATCAAGGAGTCGCTCTAAAATTGGGCAGATTTCATAGTACATGGAGCTCTCAGGTACTTTGAATTGCAATCAGCATAAAATATCATACCTAAAGGCAGTCAAACAACACATAAGGCAGGCATAAGCAAAACTTTGAAGGCACACAGACCTGGGCTCAAATCCTTGCTGTGTTATTTACTAGTTGTGAAACCTTGGGGAAGCCACTCGACTAAACCTTAAGTTCCTCATCTGTAAAATGGGGTTAATAATAGTACCTACCACATAACATTGTTGTAAAGTTTAAATAAGGGAAATATGTACAGTGACACAAAACGAATGCTCTATAAATGTTCATAATTCTAAAGTTTCACATCTCTAGATTCAGCTGAAGGATGCAAAACCTCAAACCAAATTTCACTTTAATAAGAAATATACAATTAATGTATTCAAATATTAAATAGCACTTTATTTCTGACCTACGTCAAACAGTTAAATGCAAGTTTAGTATCTGTGTTGATGGCTCTCAAAACCCTTAAGTTGAGCTTTCTGTCTAATACTTGCTCAGAAGTTCAGCAAGGTGCTTACCTAGCTACCAAAGAAGAGTCAAATCTTTTAAACCAGCTTGTTTAATATCTTGAGAAGTGAAACAACCTGCTTATGTCTACTTGAATATAAATTAGAACTTACCCAAGTCTTACTCAAATTACATATTTATAAGGGGGCAGTTCTTATTTGTAGCCACATTAAACAATCAGAACCTCTTTAGTATAACCCTCAATGCAATTTTTGAGATCCCAAACAAATGTTAAATTTAAAATCCTAGAATATTATGCAATTGAGACTAGAACTTACCCTCTGAATATTTAGAAAGCTAGGTTTTAAAATAACTGAAAACTGTCCTGGCTGGTGTGGCTCAGTGGATTGAGCACCAGTCTGTGAACTAAAGGACTGCTGGTTTGATTCCCCATCAGGGCACACGCTTGGGTTGTGGGCCAGGTCCCCAGTAGGGGGCGTGCGAGAGGCAACCACACATAGATATTTCTCTCCCTCTCTCCCTCCCTTCCCCTCTGTCTAAAAATAAATAAATAAGTAAAATAACTTAAAATGTAAGCCTTACCATAGTATCCAATCTGTACTGATTTTGTTCAAGTGCCTGAGGAGGCCAAAACATTGTAAGGAACCAGGAAAGTTATATAAATGTGTTAAATGGCCGGTGTATGGCAATAGTGAGTGATATGGTTAAACTAAAGAGTGTATATTCTGCTAAAGACATTCACAAATTCAAATTTTTTAAAATACTGGGTTGGCCAAAGAAAACACCTCTGTAGGCATTTTCTGCCATTTGGCCATCACATTGTGACCCCTGAGATTAAGGCAAAGTACAGTACTTAAAAACATTTCTTCTTGAAAACTAAAAATTCTGATTTTCAAGATAGCACTCAAATATTCTGTCACAGGCTTTATTTACCTTAAAAACACCCTTAATGGATTTTTAAGTGATTAATTTAAAAAAGCATCTTACACCCAGATTCTTAAGAATACATCTATTATGAAAAGCAAATACTAGTATCTTACTAGGTCTATTAATAATTGTAGATGATGATGTGATAGAGAATGCTTTGTTCCATAGCCTTTGCATTCAGCACACACAGCCAAACACTTTGATGAGGAAGCATTGCCTTCCCACCCCCGGGCTTTGTTTGGTAGTGTGAGCTCTTGGAAAGATTTTCCTCTTACCTCCAGTGTGTGAAGTTAAATCAGAGCTGCTTTTGTTAAGATTTCACCTCTTTAACTAGGACCTGGGTATTCCAGAAGCTTCCACAACAAACGGTTCACAAGGAAGCAGCAAAAATAGTTTTGGGACTGCTAATTTATATAATACATTGCAAACAGCAAAATCAATTATGGCCACTTGTCCCAAATCAGTCTTTTCCAGTAAATCCCCTAACCAAAAATGAGGGGTATTAGCAAATGATGAAAATGTTCTCTGTATCCACAGTCGGTATTCTAGACACCTGAGGAAGCATTCTTGGATAGCAGACTGCTCAACAGAATGGATCGGAAAAAGAGTACTGTCATATAGCCTGAGTAATTCCTTTCAGTAATGCCAGGGTGGAGATACACATTATCAAAAATAGAGGCAGTAATGTCAAGAGGGAAAGTCCAGGTAGATAATGGATTCCATGAGTACCTTTTCAATTCATACCACTTAGAACAAGAGAAGCACCCTTGAAATATTAAAGTAGCCAATCCCCAGCAAAGTGATGTACTTTTAATAAAGCTGTGCCCAGCACAAAGAAGTCTAAAATGAGGAGGGGGAAAAAAAGGAAGCCAATGAAAACAAAGCCTGCTAAAACTAAAGCAAATACGCAGTTAATCTGCACATAGAGCTTAGGCAGGAAGAACCAGCACCACTGCCATGGAACAGAAGTCTGGCTATGGATCAGTTCAAATGATGTGCTGCAGCAAAGTAGTGTGCCTTTCGGATCCCTTCCTCCTGCTGTCATTTCTTTTCATTGCAGCACTGGAGAGCAATAATATTTACTCAGGGAGTGAAGGTAGACATGAAGCTAAAAGTATTCAGGTGACTGTCTGCAGGCTTTTAGAAAAATCTGAGTATTTGAGACAAGTTACAGAATTGGTTTTTCTTGACCTACCTCACAACATCTTGTGGACTGGCAGCAACAAAAAACAATCCAACTTGATAACATAAGTATGTACTTAGAAGCTTGCAAAAATGTATTTTTTTCCATATTCAAACTGAGTTATGTGCATGTGTGTGTGTGTGTGTGTGTATATATATATATATATATATCTCAAATGCTACATGACCAAAGGAAGATAAGTCATTGAGAAAAGAATAACAGAAAGATCCTTTTCTTTTTTAAAATATCTCAAATATTAAAGATGTCAAACAGTTCAAATGCTTTTAATCATCTTTTAAAGGAATTAAACTTTCAAAAATCACACACACAACTGAGTGCACATAAAGCTATATCAATGTCAATTTCCTAGTTGTGATAGTGTAATATAGTCATTGATGATGTTTCCAGAGGAGGAGGTGGGTGAAGGATATACAGTCTCTCTGTATTAGTTATTACAACTGCACAGGAATCTATAATTACCTCAAAAATAGAAAGTTTTAAAAAATCTTTAAAAAGCAAGTAATGTGTTTTTTCAAGTCAAGTCTAACTCTGAAAACTCATTTAAAAAAAAAAGAAACCATATTATACTCAAACTGGCCACTAAAAAACCATTTTAGAGCAGTAAAGCTGACAGGCGTTTAATGCCAGATTGTAGAAACCAGATAGTTGTTTGCAAGGGATGCTTGCATCTATTCAACATCCAACAAACATATAAACACCTGCTGTACACAATCCCTGCCCTTGTGGTAGAATGGTAGCCAGATGGTCTCTGGGGCCTCTCAGTCTATCAGCAAGTGCTTGGGTTGGATACTTCTAACTCAGTATCTTGAAGGGGGGCTGAATTTTGCAGATCCCAGCCCAGACCTGGAAAGTCCTTAACATCAGTGCTATGATGCTCCTTTAAAAAAGTGATTGCCTTACCCAGATTTTTTTTTAAAGAAGCAAGAGAAAAGGTACACTTCTAATCAAGCAGACAATAGCCAGAACAACCTGCCACATATTGGATTCCACTCAAGCCTTTAGTAGGCAGAGGCTAGGGAAAAGCAGGTTCCTAAGTAGGAGGCACTTCCAGGATGACTAGGAACCCTTTCCCCAGATGATCAGGCTCCTGAAAGGTGTCTAAAGAAACTCTCTTACCATCCTCAAACGGGGTCCCTTCAGGCCTGCAACACAGAGAAAAACAAGTCAGTTCTCGCTTAAGGGGTTCCCTTCTCCCTGGTTCATTTTAGGAGATGGCTATTTTAGGCTCTGCCAACTCTACCTCCGGTAAAACACCGGTTCCTGGGTCGGAAAGACACTACAAATGGATGTTTCAGGCTCAGACACCGAGTGCAGGCCGCCGCGCCTAACCACCACCACCACTCCCCGCCCCGCCCCCCTGAGAACCCCAAACGGTTCCCCTGGCAGCGGGAACTGAGCTAATCGAGGCACAGGCTCCGGGTAGGCGCCTAGGCCCGGCCAGACCCCAACACTAACACTGTCCCTTTCCCATTCTGCCTTCTACAGCGGCCGGTCCCAGAGAGCTGGCAGAGCCACCTCACATCCCCCATCCCTCGCCAACGGCCGGAACGCAGACTCACCCAAAAATGACCGCGTTCCAAACCATTATGTTGTTTTCGGACGGAGCCCCACTGACTCCGGCTGGAGGATCCTCCTGTAACCTTTAGGGAAACAGACAAGGGCCCTGCGATCCCGCAGCTGCGTCGCTCCCAGCCGCCCTCAGCCCCCAGCCCGCCTCGGGACCCGCCCTGCGTCCCGTTGCCAGCCCCCGGCCGCCGCGTTCCCAGTCGGTTACCTCTTGAAGTCCCGCATGAGGCGCCGCCGAGCCGGGGTAGACATATCTCGAGCGGGGTCAGGGCTGGGGCATACACCGAGATCTCGGGTCCCAGTCGAGGGTAAGGGGACTGAGGAGGCTGAAGAAGCCGAAGAAGACGGGGAAGAAGCGCCCAGAGGCACTGCACTGCCCCTCCGAAGTCGAGGGTCGGTCTGGCGCCGGCTAAGCACCACCCCGGAGTAGACAGGGGCTGAACCAACCTGGAAGGAAGGGGGGGGGGAATGGAACGCCGGACAGGCCGTACCAAGACGGGCGGGGGGAGGGGAAGCAAAGTTGCTTAGGTAATAAAACCCTCGCCAGAGCAGCGAGAGGGCTGAGAGGCGGTCTGAGGAGCAAACGAAAACCTACAGCTCTCGAGGATTCGGCGGGGGAATGAGCCACATCCCCACCTGCAAAATCTAGAAGGGACCCTGGTAAGCTTTCTTTCGATTGTATGTGTGTGTGTGCTTTAAAGCCAGCTCACTTGCCCTGGCTGACTAGCTTCTTTGATTAGCGAGTTGTCCCCTCATCCCAAGGTTGGGGGTTCGATCCCAAGTCAGGGCGCATACAGAAAGCAACCAATGGATGCATCAATAGGTGGAACAACAAATCAGTGTTTTTCTCTCTCCTTTCCCCTCTCTAAAACCAATACGTTTTAAAAAAGTTAAAAATATATTTTTAAATAATTTGTATAGTTTCTATGCTTAGTCTATATCAAGGGTGTCAAACTCATTTTCACTGAGGGCCACGTCAGCCTCGCAATTGCTTTCAAAGGGCTGAATGTAATTTTAGGACTGTATAAATGTAACTACTCCTTAACTAGGGGCAAGGAGCTCTACACTCGGCCCTTTGAAGGCAACCCTGGTGAAAATGAGTTTGACACCCCTGCTCTAGATGATATAATTTTTGCATTTTTAGATAATATGATTTTTTTACTGCTTAGTGGTTTTTAAATATTTTATTTATTTATTTGTTTGTTTGTTTGTTTTTAGAGAGGGGGAAGGGAAAAACAGAGAGAGGGAGAGAAACATCAATGTGTGGTTGCCTCTTCTGCTCTCCCCACTGGACACCTGGCCCGAAACCCAGGCATGTGCCCTGACTGGGAATCCAACCAGGCACCCTTTGGTTTTCAGGCTGGCGCTCAATCCAATGAGCCACACCAGCCAGGGCTAAAATCATAAGTTAAAAAATTTTTTTTTGAAAACCTAGATCACTTAAAGTGCTCCCTGTGGTTGGAGGGTCGTAATGGGTGGAAAGCCTAAACTAGAGGAGGGAGTGAGTGGAGGCAAACTTGAAGCTTCTCAAAAAGCTGGAACTGGGGCGGTGCATGCACACTAACCCCAGAACACGCAGACTGGAGAAAGCTGTGTGTGACCAGTCAAAATCACTGAAAATCCACAGTAAATCAGCCTTGACTATGAAAGGGGACTGTGGGTTGCTTTTCTGGGGGATGGATGTGAGGGATTCAGGTCCCAACATTTAGGTCAATGACACCCCAAAGCACAAAATGGTGGTGTGTGTCCTGGAGGAGGGAATGGCAGTTAAGGCAAGAATGAGGTTTTAGTTCTGCACACTCACAATTTGGTTCTGGAACCACATTTTCCACTTGACAGTTCAACGAGCCAAGCTGCTGCTATATGTTCAGAATCCAAGGTCTGAGAAGGGCAGTGGGTCTGAAGTAAAAATAATGGTAAGATGCACTTGAAAAAGCTGTGGATTACAGGAAGGATTCGGACCTGCAAAAGCAATAACATTTTTAAAGAATATTTTTTAAAGGTCAATCCCAAACGACTTAGAAAACAGGCAAAATATTAATTTAAGATTTTTTGAAAATATGAGAAAAATAGATTTGGGTTAGGTCTTGGACAGTTTTGAACACCAAGCCAGTGGATTTCTTGGAAGGTGGGTGAGCAGAGTGGTTAGAGTTGTGCTGATCAGAGATTGGTCCCAGGAGGGCAGCTAGGAGATTCTTGACATATTCTATGAGACAGATACTGAACCAGGCAGGGATGATAAAAATGGAGAGGAGGGAAGAATGCAGAGCATTTGGCAACAGAGAGATTATGAGTACAAGATAGAGGAAGGAGTCAACAATGGCTGGAGTTCTAAGGTGGCAACTGGAGGTTTGAATGTGCTGTGAACAGAACTAGGAAATAGAGGGGGAGGAACAGTTTGGTGAAAGGAAATTTGGGGACTTACTGAGTTCATGGGACTGGTGAGACATGCATGTGAAGATGTCCACAGAATATCAAATGTGCAGAAATTTGTTTTTAGCATGGGAGGTGGGAGACACTTAACAATGGCAGTAATTCTAGCTGCTACTTAACAATAGGTACCTTCATGCCAAGGATTTATAACTCCCATTAATTCCAAAATATCAGTTAAGGCAATTGTCTCCCTAATTGTCTCACATTATACCTGTGGTGAGAAAGGGGTACAAAAATCAATTTTAAAAAACCTTTTCCTCTCATTTAGAAACGTGGACTAATACACATATGAAATCAACAAAAGCAATAGCTACAAAAGCAAATCCATTTGTTTTCTATTGCTGCTTAACAAATTACCACAAGCTGTTGGCCAAGTTCAATTCTTTGTGGTTGTAAGACTAAGGCCCCCATTTCCTCACTGGCTGCTAGCCAGGGACCATTCTGAGCTCCTAGAGGTCTCCCACATTGCCTGCCATGTGGCCTATTCCATCTTCAAAGCCAGCAACAGAGAATTTCTCTCCCATCAAGTTTCTCTCATACTCTGAATCTCTTTCTTCAGGAAGAGTGCAGTATACTTTAAAGGTTTATCTGATTAAGTCAGGCTCACCACACATAATGTCCTGTCTTAAAATCATCTGATTTGGGGTTTTAATTACATCTGCAAAATTCCCTCACAGCAGAACCTACATGAGTGTCTGACTGAATAACTGAAAGAAGGTGTGTGTACATCAACAGTCAGGAATCTTGATGGAGGGGGTGGCATTTTAGAATTCTGCCAACCAGAGCAGCAGCAGCAAGATACGTAGCAGAAGCATGTGAATCCACAGATGATGAGGGACTGCATAGCAGGTGACTCATCTGTGTGGTGAGGTTGGAACAAGCTTCCTGGCATGGATCTAGTTTCAACTTTGTTTCAAAATAGATGAAAGCAGGGCTTGGGAGAGAACTCAATCAGTTTCTATGAGGGTGACAGCACCAACAAGGACATGGAGCTAATCATGTTCTGGGGTTAGTGGGCAGATTAACATGGCGAACGGAGAATGAGGGGACCTCCACTTAGAAAAGTGGGGGTGACAGAAGTTTATTAAATGCCTCCAAATGCAAGGATGAGGAATTTAGGAGTGATAGGGAGCTTTCATATACGTTTGAGCCTAAGAGAGATGTGTTGAAAACATCCTAATGAGAAGTGGCATATAATATACTAGACAAGTAGGAGAGAGACTGGGAATCTCCTGACACTGGATGTGAATGTCTAGAAGTTTTCAAAGGCTAGAGATATGTTTGAGTTTGTTGTGGGCTTGTCTGTTTTCTGCAGTTCCTTTACTCACCCTTCCATGGAGTACCTAACCAAGAAAACTCAAGAGCATGAACCAATGCAGTTTGAAAGCCCCATGGCGCCAGGCCGTGGGGAGAGTACCCTCACCGCACAGTGGGACTGCACTGTAGGAGCATAGTACCGCCACATTCCTCAGCAGAAGCAGGGCTGCATTGCAAGCAGCAACACAGAAGAGTGTTCTCCCGCATGAATGATTGTCAGGCTAGAACATACTAACCATAGCAGAGTTGACCAAGCAATCCTTCCACCCTCTTCTCACCACTGTGTCTCGAAGAAATAACCTCTTCAAAGTCAAGCATCCCTCTTATCCAAGAACAGGGGTCAAGAAACTGCAAGTCCTTTTCAGTTTAAAGTGAGTTAGCAATGCAGCTTCAGGGAAGATTTTTTAAAAGTCCAAATTATCTGTAGGCAAGGATTTGAGAATTTTCCTAAAAGGAGGACTGTGAAATATGGGAGTATGTGACTAGGGAGACTGTAGAATTTCATTCATGAAACTTTCAAATTACAGAATAAATTGTGATTTCCCTAACTAATTTGGGTTGGAAGGAGACACTGGATAAACGATCATTTCCTGCCTATGAGGCCATTTGCATTTCTGTTAGTCAGTGAAGGCAAGGAATTTTATTTTCTCATAGTTTTCACTTCTATTGATAAGATGTACAGATGGCAGTACAAATGGCAACCAAGAAACCACAAATAATGTGAAAAGGTCTTTCTTGACCCCAGTAGTGTCAGAAGACAAGTCAAGAGAATCATGTATGAAATAAGTTGTCACAGTGTGGCTTTGGCAATAAAAGTAGTACTATGCTGTTCATCTATAGCCCCTAGGATATAGGGAGAGAGGAGAAAGAAGAGAGAGAGAAGGGGAGGGGAGGGGAGGAGGGAGAAGAGAAAGAAAAATTGAAGCTTAGTGAAAGAGGGAAATCAGGGCATGAACAGGATTTTACTACTAGCTGAATTGTTTTTTTAATTTTATGTTTTTATTTATAAAAATGTTTAATTGATTTTAGATCATTGATTTCTTTTTTAGACATTTTTTAATTGTTGTTCAAGTACAATTTTCTGCCTTTTCCCCCTGCCCCTCCCTTACTAGCTGAATTGTTGAATCACAAGAAACAAAGGCATGGTACGGCAGGCTGAATAATGCTCCTCCTACCCCTCCTCAAGACCTCATAATAATCTCTGGAACCTGTAAATACATTACCTTAAATTGAAAAAGGGGACTTTGCGAATGTGGTTAACTTCAAGAATCTTGAGATGGGGAGATTATATCCAGGATTGAACTGGTGGGCCTGATGCAATCATGCGGGTCCTCCTAAGAGGGAAGGAGGAGTCTGAATTCAGAGAGAAGGGCATGTGACATAGGAATCAGAGATTGGAGTGATAGAGCCACCATCCAAAGAGCCAAGGGATGCGGGCAGCCCCTAGAAGCTGGGAGAGGCCAAGAATGGGTTCCCCGCTGGGGACTCCAGCCCTGCTGACATCTTGACTTTAGACAAGCGAGGTTGATTTTGGACTTCTAATCTCCAAAACTGTAAGATAATAAATGTGTGTTTCTTAAGTCACAAGGTAGTTTGTTACAGCAGTAATAGGAAAGTAATACACATGGCTATAGTGTTGTGTATAAAAATGCAATCAAACCAGCTACATTCACCAAATCAAGCCTGCCGTCTTTTCCCCTGTGGTCTGTAAGCTCTATATTTTTAAATGGTGGAAAAATAATCCAAAGGAGAATAATATTTAATAATATTTCACAACACATAAAGACTGCGATATTTCAATTTCAGTGTCCCTAAAGTTTCACTGGGACACAGCCATGCTCTTTCATTTGTGTATTGCCTGTGGCTGCTTCTGTGCTATGATGGCAGAGTTGAGTAGCTGTGACAGAGACTGTATGTGGTGCTCTCATCCCTTCATGCTGTTGGTTGGTTCACTACAAATCCCAGTGACACACAGTTACAATTCAATAGCGTTTTCAGTGTCACCATATTGTGGCATTTTAAAAAAATTAAAGTGCATTCCTGTCATGTCAAAACAAGAAAATAAAAGTGGATTTTGAATATCATGCTTTTAAGTGTAGATTACTTGGTTATCAAATTAGCTGTCAAACAAAGCATTGCGTTTACTACACAGTGATGCTCTAGCACTGCTAAAAGAATACAATGCACATGGCCATTACCAAACTAACCACACATCACAATGTTCCCAGCTCACAGGAAAGCAATGATTAGAAAAATTAGAAAGTTTTGAATGGAATAATTATTATGGCAGAGCTCTTCACCAAAAAAGGAAGGAAGGAAGGAAGGAAGGAAGGAAGGAAGGAAGGAAGGGAGAAAGAAAGAAAAAATAAAATGCAACTGTGGTCAAAGTGAGTTTCTGGGTGGCTCATTTGTTAGCCAAGGAAGGAGGGAAAGCAAACCATTTACTGATGGTGAGTTAGTTAAATTGTGTTTGATTTCAGAAGCCAGAGAAATGTGTCCAGGGAAAATGAATTTGTCAAAGACTATTAGCCTTTCAACAAGAACAGTGACTCAAAGAGTTAAGGACATTGGAAGCAGCATCAATAGTCATTTTTAAAAATAGGACAAATAATTTCCAGTGGTTTTCCTTGGGTCTTGATGAATTCACAGATGTTACCAATACTGTTCAGTTGTTTCCTCAGAGTCAACGATGAGTTTAAAGTGACAGAAGAATTGGCCTGTATGAATAGTTGGTGAGAAACAACTGCAGATGGCAATATTTCCAAAGAAGTCAAGAAATGCTAGTTCAGTACGACCTGAAGTAGAATCTGCTGACGTGTATTACAAATATGTATGAAGAAGAAGGGACAAGTATACAAAGCTTGGGAAAATGTAAGTTTAAATACCATGGTTGTTCATTTCATTATTAAACAGCAGGTACTTTGCAGGAAAGTATCTGAATCTCCCTTGTGTTATTCAGCCATTAGTGTCAACAATGTGTTTCACTCTCTGATGGACTAAACCATTGCCAGTTTCATGAATTTTTGTCAGACATAGAAGCTGAATATTCTGACTTGGCCTACTAACAGCAGTTCATTAGCTTAGCAGTGCTCTTTTTAAAAGCTTTTTTAAAGCTCAGGGCCGAGATTGAAAATTTTCTGAATGAGAAGATTCACCCTCAACCACTATTATTGATCACTGAATGGTTTTTGAAATTAGCTTCTACTCTAGGCTTGATAATGTTACTTAATACACTTCACCTAAAATTACAGGGCAAAACTCTGCTTATATGTGAAATTTATACTGCAGTAAGTTCATTTCAATGACAATTAACATTGTTTGAATCACGTGTAATGTGAAGTTACTTTAATCACTTCCTGTGCTGTAAAAAGTTAAAACAAAAATGAGGATTTACATTCCCACACAAATTTGCAGTGGGTGTATTTTCTGAGCTCAAAATACAGTCAGAGTGGCATTTTTAGGACCTTGATGCAAAGTGCAAAAGAAATTTCTATATTTCAACATTAATTTGTGCATTTGAGGAACTTCCACCTAAATTTTAATTGGAAATGATTACTCTGCAACATAATGAAATGCTAAAAGGCAAATATTAAGAGAAGAATCTAATTGAATTCTCAAAATGCCTTCTAAGAGATGAATATGCTCAATTAAAATCAGTTGCTTGTGGATTGATATCAGTATTTGGCAGTACTTATCTGTGTTAATTTTTTTTAGAGATGAAATACACAAACTCATTACAGATAAACATTAATAGATGAATATTTGCAATTTATTTATTTTATTTATTTATTTAGACAAAGGAGAAGGGAGGGAGGAAGAGAGGGAAAAAAACATCAGTATGTGGTTGTCTCTCATGTGCCCCCCACTGGGGACCTGGCCTGCAAACCAGGCATGTGCCCTGACTGGGAATCGAACCAGCGACACTGTCATTCACAGGCCAGTGCTCAATACACTGAGTCATACCAGCCAGGGCTGCAATTTACTTTTTTAAAAAATTATTTAAGGCCTTTATTAATAGGTACATGCATTTGACTTAAAAAAATCAAGTTGTAAAATTTTATTACAAAGTAAAAATGAAGTTCTTAGAAATGTCAACTTAATCATATGTGAAACAATTTTAAAACCTTTAAAGGTGTATTGAGATTGTAGCTGATTTTGATGATAGGGAACACTCACTTTGAACCTTAGTTAAGTGAAATGTTATCCCTCCATCAAAGAATGCCATTCTTCCCATGAATAGACCTGTATTACAAATATATATATATATATATATATATATATATATATATATACACATATATACTTGATTATTATATTTTGAATTTCATCAATAAATATTTGTGGAAATTTGTTTTCTCTCTTGTTATACTAGTACCTACCTAATGTTCTTGATTTTACCTCTTGGCCCTAAAAGGCTAAAACATTTATTCTCTAGCCCTTTACAGGAAAAGTTTACCCACTTATGCACTAGGCTAAGTCACATGAGTGGGTGAGACTATTTATAATTGATGACTACAGTAGAAGATCAATAAATACTGAATAACATAGAATCATAGGGATGACATTGGACTAAGACATAGGAGTAAACACTGTGATTCTTTAAGACATGCATTCATATGTCTTTTATACTTTATTTAATTCATGTTTGTTTGAGGGCTAGCAGATTACTTTAAATTCCCATCCATTTACATCTTCTGTATCTTGAACACAAAACTTCTTCCAGCCAACCGGTTAATTTTTCTAGTAGTAAGCTCCTGCTATCTTCAGTAAATTCTCTTAACAATCCACTATTTTGGTGTCATCACTTGGATTATTGAAGGCATTCAATGTAAACTGTCTCAATGTCCTTATTCTGGATGGCTCCAGGATTCTGTCCTCCACAAAAAGAATTCTGAGAGAGTTTCTGGGTTGGGGAAAGGAAAGGTGGAAGACGTTCCCCTATACCTGTGGCAAACAGTATCATTAAGATGCGTCTGCTTGGAAATCATTTATATTACTAGGGTCTAGTATCTAAGATACTTGTTAGATACTCTAGTATCTAATAACTTGTGCAATTCAACAATAAAATGAGAAATAACCCAATTAAAAATGGGCAAAGGATTCAAATAGACATTTCTTCAAAGAAGATATATAAATGATAAATACACATAAAAAGTACTTAACATCCCTAGGCATCAAGGGAAGGAAATCAAAATCACAATGAGCAATCACTTCACACCTACCAGGATGGCCATGATCAGAAAGACAGACACAAGTAATTATTGGTGAAGAAGTGAAGAAATCAGAAGCCCCCCATAGATAGATTCCTGGTAGGCATAGTAAGCCACTTTGGAAAACACTCTTGGCAGCTCCTCAAAAGGTTAAACGTCAAGTTATTATATAACCCAGCAATTCCACTCCTGAGTATATACCAAAGAGAACTAAAAACACATGTCCTTACAAAACTTGTACACCAATGTTCATAATAGCGTCAATCATATTCAAAAACTAGCAACAGTGCAAATGTCCATCGACTGATGAAATGAATAAACAGAATGTGGTATACTCATACAACAAAATATTATTCAGCTATAAAAAGGAATGAAATTCCATTTTACTGATTCATTACTACTTTTTACTGAAAACATTACAGTATATTAAGTGAAAGAAACCAGACTCCAACAGCCACATATTGTATTATTTCATTCATATGAAATGTCCACAAGAGGCAAACCCATAGAGACCCAAAGTAAATGAGGGGTTGCCAGGGTCTCTGGGAAAGAGGTGGGGAGTGACTGAAAATCAAATGGGATTTCTTTTTGGGTCGATGAAAATATTCTGAAATTAGATAGCAGTGATGGTTGTACAACTTTGTGAATATACTAAAACACCACTGAACTGTACACTTTATATTTTGTGTTATATGAATTATATCTCAGCTTTAAAAAGATGTCTCAACTTCATTAGGTACTCATCCTGAATAGAGCCATTAAAATCACAGAGGCACACCTAAAATCTGTATTATGCCTATTGTGTATAGTTCTTTATCTGATTTTATATATAAATATATAGGCATACACATACGCATACATGGGAAGAAATATAAACAATTTAAATAATATTAAAGGTGTCCCAAGTAAAGCCGTTACAGTTAACGCCCAAGGCAAAGGAGGTTCTGGAAGGCTCTGGACGCCCCCAAGCTTATTAGCCTAATAAGACAGACCGGAAGTCACGTGACAACTACTGACAGCAGCTTAGCCGTAACAGTAGGGGATAGGTTCGACGCGTGTCTGTGACGTCATTTCTGCGCGACCCCTAGTTTTGGCGTTTTCTGGGTGTCACCTGTGAACCATGCCTAAAGTTGTGTCCCGGTCAGTTGTCTGCTCCGACACTCGGGACCGGGAGGAATATGACGACGGCGAGAAGCCCCTCCACGTCTACTACTGTTTGTGCGGCCAGATGGTTCTCGTGCTGGGTAGGTAGTGGGGAGCTGGGGGCGGCCTGGGGCGCTGCGAGGAGCGAAACTTCCGGTTCTCGAGTGCCGTTCGTCTCAAGCTGTGTGATCCGGGAGCTACGTCTGTTTGAAGATTAGTGGGCTTTCCCTCTGCATCAACATCTTCCCTACACATCCGTTAACCTTGTAACTCTATATCCAGACCCCCCCCAAACTAATTTCTCGTTCAGAAACAATACACCTTATTTCCCGCCCCCCTCACTCCGCTTCTAGATACAGTAGTAGCTCTTATCGTCAATGAAAATAAAACCCTTCCTTGATCCTACATTCTCCTCCAACTATAACCCCATTTCTTTGCTTTTTAAAAAATAGCAAACTTCTAAAAAGGATTGCCTGTATTGGCTATTTCTGCATCCTCACTTCCACTTGACCTCACTTCATACAGGCCTTGCTTCCCACCTCGCCATCTAAACCACATTTGTCAAGGTTAATTGAACATATTACAAGTTCCAGTGGTCAGTGGTCATTTTAGTCCCCATCTCAGCTGCATTTGACAGAGATGAGCACTCCATCCTTCTTGAAACACTTTTTTCCTTTGCTTCCATGACTCCTCACTCTCCTGGTTTTCCTCCTACCTCGATTTTGCCCCTTTTCAGTGTCTGGTTCCTTTTTCTGTCTCAAACTTAGGCCTTGCAAGGCCCTAGGATTCAGTCCTCTCACCTGTTCTCAATCTGTACTTACTCCCTGAGTGATCTCAACCATTCGCAAGCTTTAAATACCACTCTACAGGGTGTATGTAACAGAGCTGGGACTAAAATCCAGGTATCCTGACACCAAGTCACTTTTAGTTAGAAAATTCAATGATTGGTTTCAATAAGCATAGTTATTATTCTTATTATATGGTGCTAGGCCCTCCACTCCCCAAAACTTCTGATTGCCTCAGGGTATTTTTCAGTGACTCTAATAACCAAATCTTTCTCCATTACTTCAGACTGTCAATTAGAGAAATTGCCCATGAGGCCCCGGGATCGGTCCCGGGTGATTGATGCTGCCAAACATGCCCATAAGTTCTGTAACACAGAAGATGAGGAGACTACGTATCTTCGCAGGTAAGAGGTTGATGTTCTCTGTATGGGATTTTCTTATTGTGTTTGGGCCTAGTTCTGAGACTATAAATACCCTCTCTAGTGTCAAAAAGGTCATCCATTTGGGTCCAAAACATTGATGCTTTGCTAAATCTCCAACTTCTGTTAATGCAGTAGTATCTTTATTGTGTTTTGTTGAAATGGTGCTGAGATGTGATTCTATTGCGATTTTAGAGCTGTAATTTGGAGGGGTTTTTTGGCAAGTAGAATGAGGTCATTCAACCTGTAATGTCTTGGAGCATACTGTGTACATGCACTGATTTAGGGACTGCATCTGTGAAAATGAATAAAGTGCCATCCTTGCCATTAAAGAGCGTGTGGCTCAGTGAGGGAACAGGCTACCTTTAGTGACATGGTAAAATATTGATGTGCTGACCAAAGGGCTATGGGGAAACAGATAGGAGTGGCTCACCCTGCCTGAATCGTGGGTCAGGAAAAGTAAATAGATGGTGGCTTTGAACTAGGATCCAAACTGTGTTTGGCCTTGAACTAGGATTTCACAAAGTAGATGAGGGGAGTGAGAAGCATTCCAGATGGAGGGAATATGGAAACATTAAATGCATCAAATATGTGTGCTTTGGAAATTTGAGTAGTTTTTTTTGTTGTTGTTTGTTTTTTGTGGGTTTTTTTGTTTGTTGGTTTTTTTGTTTGTTTTTTTGACTAGAGCCCAGGGCACCCTACTGGAACGGGTTCATAGCTTCTAGGGTGAGGACAATAAAACGCTGAAGTGGGCCAGTTTGGATCTGTAGGCAGTAACCATCTCCCTTTTTTTTAAAATATATATTATTTTCTTTTTTAAAAGATTTTATTTATTTATTTTTAGAGAGGGAAGGGAGGGAGGTAGGGAGAGAGAGAGAGAGAAACATCGATGTGCAGTTGCTGAGGGTCATGGCCTGCAACCCAGGCATGTACCCTGACTGGGAATCGAACCTGTGACACTTTGGTTCCCAGTCCGCGCTCAATCCACTGAGCTATGCCAGCCAGGGCACCATCTCCTTTTTTTAAAGCAGAGGAGTGATATGGGTAGATCTCTTGTAGATTTGGGAGTCCTTGGTATATGTGGAGAATTGAAGCCTGGGAAGGGATAAAATTACATAGAAAGATTGTGGAGGGGAAAAGAAAAGAGAATTGAAGATATAATCCTGGGAAATGCTCACATTTAAAAAACAGACAAAATAACTGGAACAGAACCAGCAGAACCTGGTGGTGTGGAAAACAGGAGAGGACAAGAGTTTCAAGAAGTGTGTGTGGGGGTGAGGGTGGCTGTCAACAGGTGCCAGATGCCAGGGAGAGGTCAATTCTAGGGAATTAAAAAGTCCATCCATCTATCCATCCATCCATCCATCCATCCATCCATTCATCAAATATTTCATTTCCTTATTTATCTCCTACCTACCAAGTGCCAGGTACTGTCCTAGAAACCTGGGATATCCTAGTAGATTAGTTTGCTAAACTGGGTGGCTTAAAACAACAGAAATTAATTGTTTCACAGTTCTGATGGCTAGAAGTCTGAAATTAAGGTGTCAGCAGAGCCCTGTTCACTCTCTGAAGGTTCTAGGGCAGAATCCTTCTTTGCCCCTTCCTAGCTTCTGGTGTTTGCTGGCCATCCTTGGCATTTTTTGGTGTGTAGATATATCACTCTGATCTCTGTCTGCATCATCATATGGACTTGCCTCTGTGTCTCTGCCTCTGTGTTTCTTCTCTTCTCCTAAGGACACCAGCCACATCAGATTAGGGCACATTCTACTCATCTGCATGACCTCATCTTAGCTAATTACATCTTCAACAATCCTCTTTTCATACGGGGCCATATCCTGAGGTTTGTGGAAGGACATTCCTTTTTAAAGGGGTACTATCCAACCCAGTACAACCAGTAAACAAGCAAAGAACCCTGCCCTTATGGAGCTTATATTCTAGTGTCAAATTAGAAAAAACTATAGGCTGGGATCTATCGATGTTTATTTAAGAAACCAAACTGATATCAGCCCACACTAATGAAAAAAGTTATAAACCACTGCTAGGTGACATTCAATAGGAAATCAAGCATCAAGCACCAGTGTGACAACTGGGCTTCCAGAATTGTGCAGTTGAAGATGATTTTTGTTATATACCAGATACACCCAGGGGCACAAATTATAATGAAACTTATGATATTCACAGGCAATATCAGAGAAACACTTCATTATGGTACATAGAAAGGTTTATAAATGACATGCCCTACCTAGAGCTAATTCCTTCTCTTGTGTTTTTTCTCCCTCTATTAATCTTTATTTTGGCTTCCAATTTTGAAAATTATTAACTGGCTATCTTCAGGATCAGTAAATTATTATATATTTATATAACATATTACATATGTTATATATACTACTATGTAATAGTACAGCATTATACTATTAGTATAATAGTATATACTACTATGTACTACTATGTACTATTAGTATATACTACTATTAGTATATACTACATATATAGTATACATAGTAGTATATACTAATAGTATAGTAGTATATACTACTATGTAATAGTAGTATATATTGTATATACTGAAAGAATATATATTATTTAGTTAGTACAGAAAGTACTCTATAATGCACCTAGGCCACAGATTCCTATGACACTACAAGGCAGATGTCCCCAGTTCTAGGCCAGAAAATTGTGTGGTCCTAGGCTGAAGTACAAACCCTGGAATCCAGTCAGTCTGATCCTGGAAGTGAGCCAGCTTCAGACCCAGCTGTAGTGTTGGGTACTTCCCAGGCCTGAGGCTTCTGGCCAAGTGACTCTCTGGAGCCATAGAGTTCTTGGAGTTTACCAACAAGGCATGGTATATTCCCCCCTTGGTTGATAGAGTTCCTGCTCTAATCCTGACCAGTCTAGGGTGCTCCCCAGCTGGCCAGGGTAGAATTTCAGCCTGCTCCTTACCCTTCTTCTGTAGCCTGCTGAGTGTGGGAGCACCAGTTACTGAAAATATAGCAGTCTGCCCAACACAGGTCTTGGAACCCATCACTTTCCACCGCCAAGTCTCTCCGTTCTAAAGTACCTCTTCTTTGCCTTGGCCAGTGTGGCTCAGTTGGTTGGGCATCATTCTACACAGGGAAAGGTCACTGGTTGGATTCCTGGTCAGGGCACAAATCTGGGTTGTGGGTTGGGTCAGGGTGCATACAAGAGGCAGCCAATTAATGTTACCCTGATGTTTCTCTCCCTCTCTTTCTTCCTCCCTTCCCCTCTCTCTAAAATAAAGAAATATTTTTTTAAAAGTACCTCTTCTTTGACACTGTTGTTCCCTAGTCCTCTCTTTTCCTCATATACCACTCCCCTAGGTGCAAATCAATGGGCGAGTTTCTGTCTGTGTCTTTGTTTCCCATGCCCCTCCCTTGATGCTTTCTCCTTCCTTGATTTCTGTGAACTTGCCCTTGTGATTATCCTTATACTTCTTTGGCTTTCTCAGTCTTCTGGATTTTTCTGCCTGCCTGTTAAATGTTAGTCTTCTCCAGGGCTCTGGCCTTGATTTTTTTTCCTGTCTTTCTCTCTGTCCTTACACTGTCTTTGGACATTCTCACCACCTTTCATGGCATCAGTTACACTTACATGCTGATGACTCACAAAATCTAGATCTGCCCATGTTTCTCTCCTGTGCCTAAAACTGTATATCTAACTGCCTACTCTACCTCCTCACCTGATGTTCTACCTCAGATCCACCATAACGAAGATCCACCAAACTCATCACTTCTCTAAAGTGGAAAATATCGCAGATTGGTTCACTCAGTCCCACTCCAAATCTTCTCTCATACCCTCCTATATGCTAGTGTCTATAAAGTTAGGGTACATATTCCAGCCCACAACAGCCCCCCCCGCAAAGAAAAACTCTTAAGATTCTCAATGTGATTTAACTTTTGCCAAATAAAAGGGATGGAAATAGAAGTTTTTGGATGGGGCTTCCAAGGAAAACCTTTTTTACTCTTCTTATTTCTTCCTGCTTTTTGGAAAATGGGCTTGATAATTGGAGCACCAGCAGCCATTTAGGACTGGGAAGGAAGGGCCACAAGAATTGCAGAGCTTTTGCCATGCTGTTCTGGGGTCTGGACCCCTGCCAGGACGAGACTTCTTTCACATGAAAACAAACTGTTGTGTTGGAGCCACTGTAGTCAGATCTCTGTAACTATCAGCCCCACACAATTCCTTCTGTTTCCTCCTCCTGTGATGACGCCCCAAGGCAGAAGTCTGGGAGTCTGTCCTGTGTTCCTCTCACCCATCCCTGCACCGCTGCAATCTCTGGCACACACCCACTCACCGTGTACTGTCAGTTCTACCTTCTCATCTCTTGTGGCTGCCGCCTCCTGTCCCGCTACATTACCATCATCACGTTCCCATCATCACTTGCCTGGGCCATCGAAGTGACCTTTTTACCTGATCTTTTGTCTTTAGTTTTACTGTCTTTCTGCCTGAATGATCTCAAGTGCACATTATGCCAGTCTCCTGCTTCAGATCTTCCAGTGACTCTTCATGACCCACAGCGGTGCCTCTCAAACATTTTTAGACATTGAATCCTTTCTTCAAATGAAGTTCATACCCAAAAGTGTAAATAAGCAGGAAGCCACTCTGACTGGAGAAGATTTCAGCCCAACACATTAAGGACTCCTTCCCTTCCTCTATCCAATTTCATTTAGGGATCATTGCAGAGCACAACTTAAAAATATCCTGTTTAGCAGGATAAAATCTAAGCCTGAAGGCTCTCTATGATTTGGCCTTGGCCTGCCTCTTTGTCCTTATTTCCTGGTATGCACTTGATTTTTTTTTTTAAACAACTGAAAAACATTTGTCATCTCGTATAGCTTCTGGGGGTCAGGAATTCAGGAGCAGCTTAGGTGGGTAGTACTGGTCTCTCGTGAGGCTGTGGTTGAGAGATTGACCGTGGGTGCAGTCATTTGAAGTTTTCATTGGTGCTAGAGTTTCCACTTCCACGGTGGCTCCCTGGCATGATTGGCAGCTAAGTGCTAACTGTTGGGAAAAAGCCTCAGTTCCTCACCACAGGGATCTTCCAGAGGGCAGCTTGAGTATCTTTGTGACACAGCAGCTGGCTTCCCACAGTGTGAGTAATCTAAGTGAGAGCAAGGCAAAAACTGCAGTGTCTTTTATGTCTAAGACTCAGAACTCAGGCACTATCATTTCTGCAGTGTTCTATTGGTTCACACATCAGCCCTGTTCATTGTGGGAAGAGACTACAAGGATAGCAATACCAGGGTGCAAAGGTCACTGCAGGCCAATCTAGAGGTTGTCTACCACAACCAGGAAGAACATTTGGTTTTGTTTTCGGTCTTCCCTATCGAATATATTCCTAGTGATTAAGGGCAGGAAAGACAACTAAGATCAATTAGTTCAAATATTTGACTCATTAATCACTTTTTAATAATCAGAGCACTTAAAAGCCTTGTCTCATTTACATTACAACCTCAATATATATCAAAAAGGTGCATTTTTTGAGAGCAAGAACCCTGCCTTATACTTGATCAATTTTTTAAAAGATTTTATTTATTTATTTTTAGAGAGGGAAGGGAAGGAGAAAGAGAGAGAGAGAGAGAGAGAAACATCAATGTGTGGTTGCTGGGGACCATGGCCTGCAATCCAGGCAGGTGCCCTGACTGGGAATCAAACCTGCGATGCCGTGGTTCACAGCCCACACTCAATCCACTGAGCTATGCCAGCCAGGGCGATAAATTTTTATGAATTTGACAAAATCCCATTTGTCATAGGTATTTGAAGATTAACTCACTGGGAAATGTACAGCCCCCTTTGGTATTCCTATGCTTTGAAAGCTCCAGCTTACAAGATTGGCTGCCTTTAGGGTTCTAGAAGTCAGTTGCATGGTGACTCTTTTTCCTTCAGGCTGAGGTTGAATTTAGAATGCCAGTGGAAACCAGATGGGGTACACAAAATGAAAAATATCGCTAGTGCCCTAGACCACTGATGTAAGCAAATGGGAGCACACTTGACATAAGTAATACTTGTCAGCAGAGGGGCAAAGTGTTAAAGATGGTGGGGATCACTGGCGTTGGAGTTACACCCCAAGCAGCACCACTGTATCTTTTCTCATTCTGTGGGTTGCCTTTTCACTTTCTTCATGGTATTCCTGGAAACACAAACGTTTTTTATTTTAATCAGGTCCCATTTATCTATTCTATGATTGCCTGTGTTTTATTTAGATTTTCTGTTTCTTTCTCAGTGAGTTTTGGTAGTTTGTGTCATCCTCTTCTAGGATTTGTTCATTTCACCTGGGTTATCTAATTTGTTGGTGTACAGTTGTTCATACTGCAACCTTAAAATCTTTTTGTGAGGTATGTAGTACTCATTTCACATTTTTTAAGGGCTAGTAACAAACTGTAATTCTCTGAATATTTTGTGCTGTTTTACCTTTGAACATAGTATTCCCTCTGCCTAAAATACCATTTTCTATCAGGAGCTGGCAGCTTGCACATCACCTCCTTGGGAAGCCTTCCATGCTTACCTCGGACAGATTGGCAGCTCTGACCTCTGTGTCCCCATTAAACTGCATGCATTCCCCTACTTAAGAATTCCGTGATTATATTTTTCCTCACTAAACTGAATTCTTAAAATAATTAATTCAACCATTATTTACTGCATGTCTGTTTTGTTTCCAGTACTTTGTTCTGTTCTGGGGATAGAGCAGTGAGACAGACAGGCAGGGTCTCCACTGATTTCTTTATCTCACGGACCTTCCAATGTAATGGGATGATGGCAAGATAAAGTAATTATGATTATGAAAGGTCATATGAATGAAACAAAGGGCTCATACCTAGAATCACATGAGAATCCCTTAGAAAAGGTGGTCAGGGAAAGCCTCTATGAGTAGGTGATATCTGAACTGAGACCAAAAAACGAGAATGAGACAGCTGGAGTGAATGGTAAGAAGAGCACCCCAGACAGAGAGAAGGGCGTATGTGAAAGGTCAGATGTGGGAAAGCACTTGTTGGTTCAAAAAACAAAAGGAAGACTCAGGCGGCTAGTGCAATGGTGAGAGAGAGAGGGAATGTATGAGATGAGGCAGAGGCCCAATTATGGGCTCAGTTGCTGTCTGCTAGGCCATGGTAGGAGTTTGGATTTTATTCTGGGTGTCTTGGGAAGTCACTCTTTAATTTTTTTTAATCCTCACCCAAGGATATGTTTCTTGATTTTAGAGAGAGGGAAAGGGAGAGAGACAGACAGAAACATTGATATGAGAGAGAAACATTGATCAGTTGCCTCCCACACCTGCCCCTACCAGCCCACAACCTAGGTACGTGCCCTGACTGGAATCAAACCCATGACCTTTTGGTGTGTGGAACGTGCTCCAACCAACTGAGCCACCTGACCAGGGCAAGGAAGCCACTCTTGACTTTATTTTACAGAATGATCTGGAGTGAGACAGTAGTAGAAGCAGATTCTAGAATAAGTAGTCAGAATTTTTATCTTAGATATGTACTTAGAGTGGGGAAGGCCTAACTGTCTGTCTGTCTGTCTCTCTCTGTCTCTCTCTTACTCTCTCACACACACACATACACAAACACGTACATACACACACTATTTCTTTGATCACACAAAAATCTAAAATGTCCATGTGGGTGAAAAAATCAAAGACAAATGCAAACTGGGGAAGAAATGTTTGCAAGGCCCCTTAACATTTGCAGGTCTCCTTAACATACAATAAAGACGACTCAATAAACAAAGGGTAGTAACTGAGAGTTCACCCCCCAAAAAAGAAAATACAAGTGCCTATTAAGTACATGAAAAGATGCCTAGCTTCATTCTTTTAAAACAAAGAATTACACATTATGAGATCACATTTTTCATATGCGAGGTTGGCAGTAGTGTACTTTAATAACATACTGTGTTGACTGTGGGGAAACAGGAAGTCTCACATTGGTGACGGGAGTGTGAATGGTTCAGCTTCTCTAGAGAGTAATTTGGCAGTGTCTGTCAGAATTTAAAGTGGATACACTTCTAGGAATTTATCCAACAACTAAAAGACATTTGGTTGATCCATACAAAGGCATATAGTACAGACCTTGTAAGAATGAAGCAGTTCTTTATCAATGATGGGGAAGGATCACATATTTTTTAGGAAAGATACATTTTTAAAGATTTTATTTACTTTTAGAGAGAGGGGAAGGGAGGGAGAAAGAGAGGGAGAGAAACATCAGTGTGGTTGCCTCTCACGCACCCTCTACTGGGGGCCCAGCTTGCAACCCGGGCATGTGCCCTGACTGGGAATCAAACCAGCAACCCTTGGGTTCACAGGCTGGCACTCAATCCACTGAGCCATACCAGCCAGCGCCCAAGATACATTTTTAACTGAACAAAGAGGTAGAGGATAGTATAAGGTATGCTACACTTGTCTAAAAAGGAAAAGAAAACTATTTTCTCTGTGTGTCAATGAGGATTCTTTGTTTGTATCATCCACTATCTCTGAGAACAACAGAAGAAACCAGAAACAGTATTTGCTTCTGGGGAATAAAACTGGATGGGTGGAGGATGGGTGGGGAGGAGATTTACTTCTCATTTTATACTCTGTATAGACCATGTGCACATATTGCCTATTAAAAAATTTAGACAGCCCTGGCTTCTCTGGCTCAGTACATTGAGCACTGGCCTACAAACCAAAGGGTCATCAGTTCAATTCCCAGCCAGGGCTCATGCCTGGGCTGCAGGCCAGGTCCCCAGGGGGACCATGCGAGAGGCAACTGATCCATTGTCTCACACATTGATCCATTCTGTCACACATCATTTCTCTCCTTCTCTTTCTCCATCCCCCATCTCTAAAAATAAATAAATATTTTTAAAAAATTAAACGTGGGGGAAGTGAGGAGACCAGTCAGAAACCTGTGACCATAGTCCAGGGCACAGATACTGGTGGTCTGGGCTGAGATGGTGGAAGAAAGGTGGAGAACTCATTGGTTTAAGATTGTTGTTGTTTTTTTTTTAATTTGGAGATAAAAGCCACAGGATTTGTGCATGCAGGGGTGTGGGAGATAAGGGAAAGTGCAGAATCAAGGATAAGTCCAAGGTTTCTGTTAAGCAACTGGATGGGTGGAAGAGTTGGTCATCTAAGGCAGTGTTCTGTGAGCTGTTGCATCTGACAACCTGGGCTTGAATTCAAACTGTTCTAGTTCCTGATGGTGTGACCTTGGGCAAATCATGTAATTGCTTTGTGCTTAGGAGCCCTCATCTGTAAAATGGGAGTAATGATATGACCTATCTCACAGGGTTGTTGTAATGGTTAACTGAGTTAATACATGCACACTTTAGAACAGTTCCTGGCACGTAGTAAAAGCTATATAAGCAGTTACCTCTATTGTTGTTGTTATTGTTGTTACTGCATCTAAGGTGGCTGCCAGGACTATAATACTGCACCTCCTCTTCCTCTGTCAGGGAGATGCCTGACCCCTATTAGGGGCTCAGTCAGTGTTTGTGAGAGGAAGGGAGGCTTTAAAATTAATACATGATTAATAAGCAGTTGATCTAGGAGATGACAAATTTTGAAAGACTCTTTTAGCATTTGTAGAAATGAAATAGTGATGTTAGTAGGTTATGAGATTTGCTCATATCTTTTTGCTTTAACTTCCATTGTTTTGTGTGCAGGCCTGAAGGCATTGAACGACAGTACAGGAAGAAGTGTGCAAAGTAAGTATGAACAGTGTGGGTTTCTCTGAGTGTAAGCAACCAGGGGCAAGAATGTGTTAGGAACAGAACAGAGTTATTTGGATACAATTCTCTGTTGTATCTTTTTAAAAAGATTTTATTAATTTATTTTTAGAGAGCAGGGAAGAGAGGGAGAAAGAGAGGGAAAGAAACATCAATGTGTGAGAGAAACATCAATCGGTTGCCTCTCGCATGCCCCCTACTGCAGACCTGGCCTGCAACAAAGGCATGTGCCCTGACTGGGAATCAAACCAGCGACCTTTTGGTTCACAAGGTGGTGATCGGTCCACTGAGCCACACCAGCCAGGGCCTTTGTTGTATCTTTATCCTTATAATCTCTACACAAATAACAATATGCTTCTGGAAGACATAAGTCAAAATGACATCTCTGACCATCTGGCCACAAAAATAGCGTTTTATATATAGTATTATTTTTGAAAGTTGAGGTGTAATTTATATGTAACTAAATTCGCCCTTCTTTAGTGTACCATTTGATGGGTCTTGACAAAAGTGTGCAGTCATGTAATAGCACCACTACTGTGATACAGAGTGTCCCCAGTACCCTGCGTGCCCTCGGAGGTTACTCCCCTGCCTCACCCCCTCCCCTGGCAATCACTGATCTGCCTACTGTTACTGCGGTTTTGCCTTTTCTAAAATTTTATGTAAATTCTACAAAATGTGCTTTACTATATATTGTACAATCTGTATCTGTTACATATGGTTTCTTTCACTTAGTATAATGCTTTTGGGATTCATCCAAGTGTTACGTGTATCAGTAATTTCTTCCTCTCTATTGCTGAGTAGCACACTGCTGCACCAGTTTGATTCAGCATTCACTCACTGAAGGGCAGTTGAGTTGTTGATGGTTTGGGCTATTACAAATAGAGCTGCTATGAACATTCTAGTGTAAATTTTGATGGGAACATGTGTTTTCTCTAGTAGTGGGATTACTGGGTCATACGGTAAATGTAACATGGTGTAATTTAATCTAGGCCCACTTATGAAGCCTGGAAGTTTATTTAATGCAATATATATATTCTAGCTTTAGATTAACAGAATATTAAGCAATAGTAAGTTTAATCTTGTTTCAATAATTAACAGTTACATCTTGGCTCTCAGAAGACTCAGAGAAGGAGGGGTAAAGCAGGGAGAGGGCCAAGAAAGTATTTTTAGTTCACAGCCACACTGGATTCATTAAATTGGTTTTATCTGATCTTATGGGTCTCCCTCATTTAGCTGAAAAAGTGTAATAAGAATGACCAGCCAAAGAAAGTAGGACGATTACTACAGGAATTTGTGTGCCAAGCACTGCAGCAGAGCCTTTACACTCCCTCTTAGCCCTGTAGAAACAAAACAAAATGAGACAAAACCCGCAAACTAGTTACCCAGACCCCTCGGAAGAATGGCAGCAGTTTTGACCAGGAAGCAATCAGTAGCAGGAGCCAGCGTGTACTGAATATGTCTGTTGGTAAGAATCACTTGAGATGCTGAGGAAAATGACAAGAGACCAAGGCTACCTGCCTCCGCCCCAGATTTGCTGAATCGGGATCTTTTGGGGGGTGGGGCGAAGGCATCTGATCAGTAGTTTTAACAAGCACCCTAGTGATTCTTACTGAGTAGTTTGGGGAGACACTGGAAAAAACACATCATTAGTTTATGCCACAAACAAAAATATTTCTGGAATCTCAGCACATTTTACAAATCACTGTTTAGGGGATCTAAATTCTGAGACTTCCCAGTGACTCAGTCTGCTGCTTCCCAGGTGTGGACTGCCACTCTTCTACCAGTCCCAGCCGAAGAATGCTCCCGTGACCTTCATTGTGGATGGAGCAGTAGTCAAGTTTGGCCAGGGTTTTGGAAAAACGAATATATATACTCAGAAGCAAGAGCCTCCTAAGAAGGTAATTGTCATCGAAGGAGACAGACTGGTTAATATACCTATAGATGTAGCCCTAAATTTTAAAATAAGATTATAGTGCGCAAGAAACTGTCCTTTACGAATGAATGCATTCTTTATTAAGAGAATGTCATTTTTGTGTAATGTGTTGTTTTTTTTCTATAGCTTCCCTATGAGTAAAGTTAGAAACTGTATTTTTAATTTATTTTTAAAGAGAGAGGAAGGGAGGGAGAAAGAGAGGGAGATAAACATCTATGTGTGGTTGCCTCTCACGCACCCACTACTGGGGACCTGGCCCGCAGCCCCGGGCATGTGCTCTGACTGGAAATCGAACTGGCGACCCTTTGGTTTGCAGGCCAGCACTCAATCCACTGAGCCACACCCACCAGGGCAAAACTGTATGGTTTTTATTCACATTTACTTCCTTTCAAATTTCTTCTTTTTCCAGTGTAAACAATTTAAAAAGGAATGAATCAGGCTAATTTTTAGATGTACTTTAAAAACCTTAATGGAAAATGTTAGAACAACATGAAGCAAATAAAAGTATTGGCACTTTTAGATAGGCCAGCCTATCCCAAAGAGGTGGCTGTCTACCCCCAACAGCTACCTTTCCCAGCACCCAGGCATGTGTGTACCTGCTCGAATGCACACATGGCTCACAGAGCCTCTTGCTGTGTCTAGACTGATTCTTCCTCTTCTGCAACTCCAGGTGATGATGACCAAACGGACTAAAGACATGGGCAAGTTCAGCTCTGTCACTGTGTCAACTATTGATGAAGAGGAAGAGGAGATTGAGGCTGTAAGTGCTTCTACTCTGAAGGGACTTGAAATAGGGGGGTTGGTGTGAAAGGAACAAGGCTCTAGAACAAGAGCATCCTGGCAGCGGAATGATTGGAGACTGCTTGTAAACCTTGCTCTGCCGGTAAGAAACTATGAGACTGGCTAGTTCCTGTGTCCCCGAATCACAGGACCATCTGTAAAATGAGAACCAGGGAGTTGCACTTCATCAGTGCTATTTTTGTCATACTGTGTTTTTGAGAGGCCTTAGGGGGCAAATCCCTTATCCTTCTTCAATTTAAACACTATTGAGCTCAACGATTTCAGGCCCCTTCCAGTCTGGCTCTGATGGTTTATGAGTCTGCCCTTAGCAGTAGCAGCAATTATGTTTATGGTTCTTCAGTATAATAATGTTTACAGAGAGAGCTGTTATCTGTTAGTTTTTAAACATTTTTTAAAGATTCTATTTATTTATTTTTAGAGAAGGGGAGGGAGGGAGAAAGAGAGGGAGAGAAACATCAATGTGTGGTTGCCTCTTGCATGCCCCCTACCGGGGACCTGGCCTGCAACCCAGGGATGTGCACTGACTGGGAATGGAACCTGTGACCCTTTGGGTGGCAGTGCACACTCAATCTACTGAGGCACACTGGCCAGGGCTGTTATCTGTGACTTTTTAAATTATTTCAGTTGAAACCTGACCTCTCTTGGATTACTGAAAAGCTGCAGAGTTGAAAGCGAACAGCCCTGCCGTTTCAGTAATAATTTCATAATTTGACTGGTACAAATTGGTACTTAAGGTCTCTGTTGTTACTCGTGGGTGTGACTGCTTGTTTAAGGACACTTCTTTTCTCCCCTCAGAGGGAAGTTGCTGACTCGTATGCACAGAATGCCAAAGTGATTGAAAAACAGTTGGAGCGCAAAGGCATGAGCAAAAGGCGGCTGCAAGAGCTGGTGAGTGGCATGTGGTGGCAAGGTGCTGGGGTGGACTGTTTGGATTTCTTGGTCTGAAAGATCCTCCAGTAGTCAGAGACATCTTTAGGACATCTGTCAGGGATTACCAATGTACTTGACTGCCAGGTGTTTAACCCTGGGCTGTGACTCTTGTTGTACCCTGCTCTGGAATAGTTACCACAAGATCCAGGCCCTAATTATGGTACTTGTTAGGCAGCCCTAACTAGAATGACATTTTAATTGGCTACTTGTGGTCCATGGTCAGGAGTAACAGATCAAGGATTATGAATGCTTTCCCAGGGTGCAATGGCACACGACGGTGCTCCATGGGTAGGCCCAGCACTGAGGCTGCTTGTTGCTCCTTAAGGCCCCAACTCCACCACCCACTCCTGCATTATTCATGGGCTCCTCACAGAGTGTGCACACCCATAGTTGATGGTGTCTACACGCTTGTTTTCTTGATAATAATTTACTCATGATACTTCTTTAAAATTAGATAGCGCTTCATTAGTGCCTTATTAAAAGCTCTACCAGTCTGCCCATTGACTGGAGGATTTTTCAGTGACAGAGGTGGTAGGTCTGGGGAGCTACTTTACATTGCCATGGTGGTTTAGAGCAGTGCTTATCAAGTTTTCAGAGGTGAAGGTCAGTGCTTCATTATTTTTTTAATTTCCAATTTGTAAGAGCAGATTTATAATTTATCAAATGCAGTGAAATGGACTTGCCTCAGTTGTTTTTATTGAATTATTTTATTTTATTATTACTCTGTCAAATGGCTATAAAAGTTTCTAAATGTTTACTGTCCATGTTTGTGCAGATCTTGCACGCACCAGCAACAAGCAGATCATGGGCCACACAACTAACTCTAAGAAGCGCTGTTCTAGAACAGTGTTTTTCTTCTTATTGTGCCAACAATAAGATACTGGTGTACCACGATATCAACTGATTCCCTCGGCCCTTTGGGAGTCATGGGGCTGGGGGATGCCTGCGCTGACCACCGTTGACCACAGCCTTGTGTGTCATCATTTTCTGTGTGCCGTACCAGCAGAAAGGTCAGAAAGCAGTTACTAAAGATTCATAAGGAGTGTAGAACCACTGTTCTAGTTTGTATACTGCATGGGCATGGAGGGAGAGTTTTTGGGCAGTTACTGATAGAATAAAGAAGGAAAGTAAGAATTTCTTATCATGGATCACAACATATACCTTTTCTTCCTCCCCAGGCTGAACTGGAAGCCAAGAAGGCAAAAATGAAAGGGACTTTGATTGACAACCAGTTCAAATGATCGGACCTTTCTCTGAACCCAGACTATAGGCGAGCATTTAGACCAGACGGCAAAAGACCTTGTTCTTGACTGTGTGCACTGCTTCCTACCTTTATGTCCCAGCAGAAGGCTTTATGTTGCTTCTACGTTCAGTGAGGTCTTTGAGTCCATCTGACCTGCTTTCTAGAGTTGGGTTTTTAAAATCTTTCTATATATGGTTCTTCTGTACTGTTTTTTGTTTGTTTTTTTTTTTTTCATTTGATATAAACATTTTTAGCTGTGCAGGAACTCTATGAATAGATCAGTGCTTAACTATCTCTAGTTTTTAAAGCAGCTGGTCTTTAATAAAATGTTCAAAGATTTTTGAAAAAAATATTATAAGTTGTCATAGAAAAAAGTGGCACATAATTAGATTTAAAGGGTCCCTTGAGGGTCCCTTGAGGTCTTGGCAGCTATCAGCTATGGTTTGAATCTCTTCTTCTGTCACAGAAAACCCATAAAAAGCCAGAATCTGCATAAAGCTTCCTTTACTTCAAATATGAAAGCTATAAGTGAGCCATCCCTTATCAGACTTTGCACTTAAAGAAGCAAAAGCCAGATTGCAGTGAAGGGTTAGGGTAGCTGAGATCTGAATGAAAGTGGAATCTCAGTAAGCAACCCAAGGGAGCTACCATCCTGTCAAGTAGCTAAGAGTACTGCTTCTGTGTGTGGGCATGTGGGAGGGAGAAATTATAGAGTAAGAAATGATGCTGAGGTTGAAAACAGTATATGTTGGGTATTTTATTTCACATTTCCTATTTGTGGAAGAGTCTTACAGATATAAATATTTAATATTACACCGCTTAAGTGATATCAATATGTAGTGTTTGTATCCAGATTTAATCTGTTCACCTGTATTACAAGGTATCGCCTGCATCTAGTCAGATCTCTGCAACTGAGTTGTTGTCTCCACCTCAGTTCCTGTCCTCATTCTGAGGGATAATTAGGCATTATGTACCTAATAACCAACCGTAACCTCTGCACAATTCCTTGACCTCAACTGCAAATAATGACCTTCATGCCACTTTAGCCACAAAGTGCCATGCCCACAGGCTGGATGTCATCTCAACCACCTCTGAAATCCAGTGCTCTATTCTTTCCACACAACCTCCTATCATTGCTACTCTGGTACTCACACTTCTACTAAAAGTGTTCTGTTTTTAGATGTGAAGGGTAATTATCTTGATTATTTTATTAGTAGTGGTAATCTAAAATAGTAGTGATACTAATACTAGCTACTTTTTATTAAGTACTTACTATGTGTCAGGTGCCATGGAAAGCACTTTTATAGGTATTACTTTCATTTAAACATGAAGATAATCTCATGAGAGAGGTTTAAGTAGAGTAGCTCTCCTCCTTATCTGTGGGGGACACATTCCAAGATCCCCAGTGTATGCCTGCACTACACACACACATACACACAATGTTTTTTCCTATGCATACATACACTTTATGGCTTCTATTGCCATATCCAAATTTCTATCATCACTATTCTTATGTTTTGGGGCCATTAGTAAGTAAAATAAGGGTTACTTGAACATAAGCACTGTGATACACTTACAGTCGATGTGATAACAGAGACAGCTACTAACAGACTGACAGGTGAGGAGTATTTACAGTGTAGATAGACAAAGGGTTGCTTCACATCCCAGGCGTAAGATTGTAGGGCACTACTCAGCACAGCATGCAATGTAAAACTTTTGAATTCTTTCTTTCTGGAATTTTCCATTTAATATTTTCAGACCATGGTTGACCGTGGGTAACTGAAGCCACAGAAAGCAAAACCACAGATAAAGGCTGGGGAGGGGGAGGGCTACTGTACTATCCGTCATTATAATGTTATAAATGTGTACTTTGAGGCCCTGAGAGTTTGAGTTTCCCAAGTTCCCATAGCCAGTAAGTGATAAAGCCAGAAATCTGACTATGCAACTATGCCGAACTACTTCTCATGTGGGATTTAAAATGTAAATATGTTATTGAGAACAGATTGCCGTTCATTTTGAGAAACCTAGTAAAGTGCAATGTAAAGACAATTGCAAGGAAACGTGTTCTTCATTATGTTTTCTTCCTTCATATTGAAATTGTTATTAAAATAACATGATGTCGTTTCTCTGTTGTCTTTATTTACTTGTATTTTGTATTTTGGCAGCAATTACAGTGCTTAATGTTAGTATAAGGATTCATATTGAAATTTCAGTCTTATTCTGTTTTTTGGTTTTTAAATGATTGACTGTGACAAAATAATAAAATGTTATAAAATATTTCTACTGACATTTGGGAGTATAATTTTATTGTTTAAGAGAAATTGGGAAGCTTTGAAAAAAACTAGCTGGTGTTAACCACTAGCTGTGGACCACCTCCCTTTCTCAAGGAAAAATCTTCCCTTTTTTACTCCTCTGACATTTTATTCTGCTTCTTCACCATACTACTCCTCTTCTTTACTCAATTTTAACGAAGGACACTCCATTGCACTTGAGCTTTAATATTCTATATTCCTCAAGGGAAATAAAAAATATCACTGATGGTGAACTAAACCTGTTTTTAAACTTCATAGAACCTTGATCCCCCTGTTTTTCCCAGCATTGCAATTCCATCACCATCCCCTTTTTAACCCAGGCTTATCCCATGATTGATGATCTGAATTATCCTCACCAGCACCTTTAAGTCTTCTTACCATGACTTTTTTCACTTAAAAAATATTTGAATAATTTTAGATTTATAGAAAAGCTCCAAAGATAGTACAGCAAGTTCCTGTATGTTCTTCACTCCAGTTCCCCTAACATTAACATCTTATATAGTGCTATGGGCTGAATTGTACCCCCTTCTTCATAGTGCATATGTTGAAGCCATAACCCCCACTGTAATAATATTTGGAGATGGGTCTTTGGGAGTTGTTAGGTTTAGGTGTGATAATGAGGGTGGTACCCTCAAAGTGCCTTCATAAGAGAGCACTGTCTGTGTCTTACTCTGTCTCCTTCTCTGTTTGTCTCTATCTCTATGTCAGTATCTCTCTGCCTCTGTCTCAGCCTCTGTCAGCCTCTCTCTCTCCCTCTCTCCCTCTCCCTCTGTTTCTCTCTCTCTCTCTCAGAAGAGAGCTCTCACCAAATCAGCCAGCACCTTAATCTTGGACTCCCCAGTATCCAGACTGTGAGAAATAGATGTCTATTGTTTGAGCCACCCAATCTTTGGTACTTTGTTATAGCAGCTCTAGCAGACTTATTTATATATATAAATATATATGTATATATTTATAATATATATAAATATATACGTATATATTTATAATATATATATATATATATGGTGGGGCAAAAGTAGGTTTACAGTTCATATGGAAAAAATACAATAATAAACAATAATACAAGAATAAACTGTTATTTTGTGTACTCACAGCTGTAAACCTACTTTTGCCTCACCCTGTAAAAAGCCATATTATACTGGTCAAAACTAAGAAATGAGCATTGGTGCAATAACATTAAACTACAGACCTCATTTGGATTTCATCAGTTTATCCACTATGTCCTCTTTCTGTTCCAGGACCCCAATTACATTTAACTGTCATGTCTCTAAGTCTTTTCTGATTTTTGATAGTTTCCAAATAGGGGTGAGTTGATATTTTATGGTTTTGACACACATTTCTCTAACAATTAGTGACATTGGGCAACTTTTTATATACTCGTTGGCCATTTGTATATTTTCTTTGGAGAAATGTCTATTCAAATCCTTTACCCATTTTTAATTGGGCTATTTGATTTTTTTATTGTGAACATATTTGCTAATTTTTGTATAACTTCTTTGTCAAGAGTTTGTTGAGATCTTTTGCCTGTTTTTAACCTTTTTTTTTTATTGATGTGTTTTAAGAACTCTTTACTCTGGGTATGTCTTTTATCAGATATGTGATTTGCAACATCTCCCAGTCTGTGGGTTGTCTTTTTTATTCTCCTAATAGTGTGATACCTATTATAATGCCAGATTATGCAGATTTTCTTCTATATTTTTTTCTATTAGTTGTATACTTTATGATTGGGTCTATGGTTCATTTTAAATTAATTTTTGCAAAAAGTGTGAGGCATGTGTAAAGGTTCTTTCTTGTATATAGATGTCCAGTTTTCCAGCAGTATTTGTTAAAAAGACTTTCTTTTCTCCATTCAGTTGCCTTTGTACCTTTGTCAAAAATCAGTTGACTGTGTTTTGGGGCTTTTTCTTCTGTCTATTGTCTGTCTTTGCACCAATACCACACTATCTTGATTTAATTATTATACTTTATAGTAAGTCTTTTAAAAACAGGTTTTGTTTAATTTTAGAGAGAGGGGAAAGGAGGGAGAAAGAGACAGAAACATCTATCAGTTATCTAACGCACTGCCACAACCAGGGACCTGGCCTAAACCCAGGCATGTGTCCCAACTGGGAATCAAACCAATGACCTCTCAGTTTGAGGGACAATGCCCAACCCAGTGAGCTGTACCAGTCTGGGCTATAGTAAATCTTGAAATGAGGTAGTATGAGTCTTCTCATTTTGTTCTTTTTAAGAATTATTTTGCTTATTCTAGTTCCTTTGACTTGCCATATAAATTTTAGAATCAGCTTATTGGTATCTCCAAAATTCTTGCTGGCATTGATTGGAATTGTGTAAAATCTAAAGATCAAGTTGTAGAGAATTAACATGTTAATAAAATTGTGTCTTCTAACCCATGAACACACTATACCCCCATTCATTTAGATCTTTGATTACTTTCATCAGTATCTTAGAGTTTTCAATGTACAGATCCTGCAAATATTTTGTTTACGTTTATACCTAAGTACTTCACTTTTTCTGCTGCTGTTGTAAACCTTACCTTACCCCTTTTTTAAACAAGGAAATAAACTCATAATGTATTTGAAAACTCACTGGGCCTATTCTGATATGAACTCAAGCTGAAAGTCCATTGATCTCCCAACCCCGTGCCCTAAGCTCCCCATCTGACTTGTCTCACAGCAGCATTCTGACTCTCCAGAGCCACTGTCTGGGTAGTGCCCCTTTCTAGTTGACAGAACTCTGGATAATGGCTGCAGGACCTTTGGGAGAAAGTCATAAAGAAATTTTATGTTAAATACTTGTGGCAGTGTCAAGGGGATACGTTATTTCTTGATTCAAAGGTCTCTAGGTAAACCAGTTTGAAATTGCAACAGGTCTGGGAAGTGAGTGAGAGGCAGCAATGCTTCGTTATAGTGACAGCAATGAGAGCAAGGTATATACAGGCCAAATCTTAAATCTTTTTAAAATCTTTTAAAATATTTATGCAAATATGTAGGGTAATAATCTTCTGCCTGAATATTTTAAGCCACTGGCAATGATTCCTAATTATTAAATATTTTGATTGACACCAACCTGATTCTGTTACAGCAGCCATCCTTAATTGAAAAAATAAAGCTCCCTGTTTAGAATCAGTCCTACAATCTCCTTTCTCTGATATTTTACCCAAATGGATGAGTGTCCATATCTTGCAAATAAGTGGAGTTTGACATGTGAATTTATGGTTCCAATATCAGATGGGTTCTCCCTACAGCCAGTCAACCCTTCTACTACATGTCAGCACGTCTCCTGTTTCACTCAGGAAGAACTTAGAGCCTCCACCCACCACTTTCTTCAAATCTCTCTGCCTGCAAACTCTCAGCGGACGACTTTCCTCTCCAAAGCACCAAGAACATAGGGGCATGCTTATTTGTATCAGCTCCCATCCTTTTCTCTTTCCACTCTCAGAGGAAGAAGTGGACCCTATTCCTGGTCAAAGTTAACCTGCTACCTTTTATTCAATCAACTGATATGTATTGTCTATTATGTGCTAGATACAGCAGGTCCTTGAGTAATGCTGTTTCATTCAATGTCATTTGATTATAATTTTGATGAGAAAAAGATTCCCAGCCAGGGCTACTGTCTGTGGAGTTTGCACATTCTCTCCAGGATGGTGTGGATTTGCTGTGGGTACTCTGGTTTCCTCCCTCATCCCAAAGATGTGCATGTGAGGTGAGTTGGCATGTCTACATTGTTCTGGTCTGAGAAAGAAGGACAAAATTGGAGGTATCATGCTATCTGATGTCAAACTATACTACAAGGCTATAGCAATCAAAACAGTATTGTGTTCTGGCTGGTGTGGCTCAGTTGGTTTGGTGTTGCCCTGCAAAACAAAACATTGCCAGTTTGATTCCTGGTCAGGACACATCCCTGGATTGCAGATTCAGTTCCTGGTCAAGAAACTGATCAATGTTTCTCACATTGATGCTTCTCTCCTTCTCCTTCTCCCACCCTTCCTCACTCTCTAAAAATAACTAAATAAAATCTTTTTAAAGAAAGATATAACAGATATAACATAGATATAACAGATATAACACAGAGATATAACAGATATAACATATCTGATAAAAGACATATCCAGAGTAAAGAGTTCTTAAAACACATCAATAAAAGGTTAAAAACAGGTAAAAGATCTCAACAAACTCTTCACAAAGAAGTTATACAAAAATGAGCAAATATGTTCACAATATGTTCACATGTGTTCACAAATGTGTATGTAGAATACCCAAAAGAATTGAAGGATAAACATTTGAAATAACAAGGAAACTTAGAAAGGTTCCTGGACATGTGGTCAATATTGAAAATTGATTGTTTTCTGTATATAAGCAACAAGCAGTTGAAAACTTACAAAATAAGTATTAAGTCATTACAATAACCTGAAAATACCTAAGGATAAATATAAGAAAACATGTTCAAGGCCTTTACATAGAAAACTATAAAAGATTCTTGAGAAAAATTACCACTTAAATAAATGGAGTGATATACCATGTTTATGGATTGGAAGACTTGGTAGCTTTAAGGTGTCCATTCTCCACAAAGTGATTTATAGACTCAATGAGACCCCATTACAAAGTCCCAACAGTTGTGTGTGTGTGCATTGGGGGGAGATTTGACAAACTAAATTATACGGAAATGAAAAAGTCCAAGAATAGCCAAGGCACTCTTGAAGAACTAGGTGGGAAGACTTGTCCTGTTAGATGTTGTCTTATTATACAGTGAAAGTAATTAAAACAATGCGATATTGGCCCAGTGATTGACAATAGACCAATGGGACACAATGGAGGGCCCAGAAACAGACCCACACAGATATAACAGATATACAGCAAAGGTGCCGCTGCTCTTCAGTGGAGAAAGGATTTTTTTCAATGAATTTTTCTAGGACAATTGTCTATCCATATGGCAAAAAGAAAACTTGACCACCACCTAATAGCATCTACAA